CACCACCAAATGTTCAGAAGGCAGCAACTATAGTCAAAAAGTCACCAGTTAAAAAGAATGTAATCAAAAAGCCTGCCATTGTTTTGAAAAAGCCTGGAGGCAAATCCAAAGGAGGAAAGGTATTTACATTTCTGATTTACAGCAGACAAAAATTTAAGCTGTTACTGTTGTTACCAGTGTTAAAAATGACAAATTTGGCTATGGTAATGTGTTGAACAGTTTGAATGGCTTAGTCAATCTGAACAAGTAAATTATATTTTGCAATGATTTTTTTTTTGGTCCGAATATTTTGAACAATCATTAATCTCATTTGACTTTAATTTTTCTTTGTGTCAATCATTCCAACACATAATTAAAGGCATCATAACATATAAAACATAACATCAAACCTGTTTAACATATTAACAGAACTAGGATGTTTCAAATTATGTGTCAAGTAAAAGAATGCTACATTATACAAACTGTACATTTTTTATTATTGTTATTATTATTTCATCTTAGGCTGATGGTATGATAAATTCTGTGTCATCTGGCGCTAAGGATTCTGGCACTGGACTCACGGTGTTATCAGAAAAAAAACTTTTTCTAGGTCAAAAGGTAAAAAAGTTTTAAGAGCATGATACTAGTTTTTTTTTTACTTTGTAAATAAGTAGGGCTAATGTTGAGTCTTTTAATCTCAGTCCCTGGCAGCACTGATGATTATCTGCATTTCTGTAAAAAATTCACCATATGGTGTCTATCATAGTATGGATTTATGAAGTTTCATAACTACTGTACTTGGCGTTAAGCATTTCACCACTCTTTTCCTTGAAGTCAGTCAGTGATTTTTGTTTCCATACTTCCGATGAAGGTTCCTTAAATCTGATACTTGATCTTGCTTCAGCTCACAGTTATTCAGGGGGATATAGTCAGTGTCACTGCAGATGCAATAGTTCATCCAACCAATGCCACATTCTATATGGGGGGAGAAGTAGGTGTGTAAACAGATTATTTCTGTATAATTTTATAATAAGAAAACACTGGTCCTGTGCCAAATGCACATTTTTAACTCTTCTGTGTGTTTGTCAGAATTGTTGTCAGAAAATGAAAATAAAAATAATTACAAATTTAAGAGATTAAAAAATAGTTATAAATAAATAAATCATTTTAAATCATTAATATTACACAAAACATTTGGAACAATCCAATGATGGATCCATTATTTATATCATCTGGTTTAGAATTTACCTTAATTAAACATTCCAGGTCAGTCTTTGGAGAAAACAGGTGGAAAAGAATTCCAACAAGAAGTCCAAGATTTGCTGAAAAACCAAGGGCAGCTAGATACTGCTGGAGGTTAGCCATTTTTCTTGCTACACTTTGTTCTGATGTGTCATAAAGAAAAATTGTCTCAATAAGAATCTTTGAAAAATGTATTGAAGTCTTCTTAATTTTTTATTATAAAAATGATTACTACTTTTTTTTCATATTTTGTCTGCCATGAGGAAAAACAGCAGTTCTTTTGGTCGAAACTCCCTTTTACATTATCTTCTGCTTTTTTGTACGTGAAAACTTCTTTTGAAAATGTGTTAGTTTTCCCCTCTTCCAGCTGCTCTTTGCCCAGGACACAATTTCCCAGCCAAGTTTGTAGTCCATGTAAACAGTCCAGCATGGGGTCAACAAAATGCTCAGCAATTGTTAGAAAAGGCCATCAAGAATATTCTAACATTGGCAGACGAAAAACATATTAAAACAATTGCCATTCCCTCCATAAGTAGTGGAAAGTAAGTGGGTCCTGTACTGGGTAACCCTTGTTTTGTCCATTATATATATACTGTACATGTAAAGTGATAGCAAAAATGATACTAGTGAGGTGCTGCTTTATGGGTTATCACCCACTCTGCACTGATCTAGGTTCATTTTTGCAATGAAAGAACTTTGACAGTGGTGCTGAAAGTTGGTTGTCTTTTTTCTCCCATTTTTTCTGACTGTACCTAAAATGGCATATCATATGCAACATAATGTCATTTCTTAAAACATTTTGTCCATTTCATAAAACTGCATTCATTGGATTGACTTATCATTTCTTCAGAAAATTTTCAATTTTCTCTGGCTTACAAGAACCACTTTCAAAGCCACTGCGTTGCATGATATATCACTTGATGGCATGCTTGTTTTTATTATCCCCCTTAGCGGCCATATGCCCTGGACACAGGTTTCCTGCTCGCTTTGTTGTTCACTGTAATGGGCCAACATGGTCAGCCAGCAATGCCCAACAACTGCTGGAGAAGACAGTCAAAAACTGCTTGACTTTAGCAGATGAAAAGAATCTGCGCTCTTTGGCTTTCCCCTCCATTGGTAGTGGGCGGTAAGCACTGGGTGTGGATATTTTGTGTGCACTAGTAATGCTTATTGGTGTAGTACAAATAAAAGTTGACTGTCACTTTGACTATTTCCATTCATTGGCACATTTGGTAAGTGATACTTGAAAGCAGAATTTGTCAAAACTTTAAAATAAAGATGAAGTACCACTATGGAAAACATTTTAAAAAGAGTGCTTCATCCATTGTTCGTTTTTAAGAATTCTCAAGTGTGCCATTGAATTTTTTCTGCTTTAACAAGGGAATTGAAATGGAAAGATTGATTAAAGTATATGTAAGTTACAGCGCAAAACTTAAATCATGAACCAAACAATGACTAATTACTTAACTCCTGTTATCTGCATTTTTTAATTTAACTTCTGTCTAGACAGTTGAATGGTTGGCTTGCAGTATATTTCTATTGACTAAATCGTGCTGCAATTGCAGGTCTAAAAGGATGTGAGACCATAAAAATTATTAATACACTAATTTAACAATTAATTGTATGCTTTTCACTGAAAAATAACATTTATTTTTACGAAAAAGTTTTCAACACTTAGTTATATTTTTTAAAGGGGATGATAGGGATTCAGTGTGTTGGTTTACTGTACAATTCCCTTGACCATTAGATGTAATCACTGTTTTAGGTGACTAGATTAAAATGTGATTTTATTATTATTTTGAATATATTTATGAATGTTTTGATTTTTTTAGAAATCCTTCTAGTGCAATATTAGAGTCTTTTAAAGGTTATTGGAATTGCACCTGTTGAAAAGTTTATTTACTCTTTGATATAACTTGTGAAAGATTTCCACTTTCAAAAAGTGAAAGTATTTTATCAACATTCTTTTCCAGTGGAGGGTTCCCAAAGCAGACAGCTGCTCAGATCATTCTCAAGGCCATCAACAACTATTTTGTCACAGTCATGTCCAGCTCACTCAAACAGATTTACTTTGTCCTCTACGACATGGAGAGCATAGGGGTGTACACCAGTGAATTAGCCAAACTAGACTCCTAAGCAAAAAAACCAAATGCACACTGTCTCTATCATTATCTTCCTCATCCATTGTTGGGGCCTGATTAAGAAAGAAATCATGCCAGGTTAAGATAGAAATCATTTATCTGGATGGAAGAGGATCTGGATCAGCCCAGAGAGAAGTGTTTGGTATGTTGTAGGATATAGCTTTGTAGATGTTGCATGAAGAGAAAATATGGAAGTAATTTTGCCAATCACTGGAAGAGAAGTTAAAAAGTGAACAGAGTTTTAGCTTCAAGGGGATGAATAATGTTCAATTTGTCATTGTTGACTTTTGTTAAGACTGAAGTTACAGAAAGTAGTTTCATAAAGTATTTTTATTTATTATGTTAATAGAACATAAAATGTTGAATAAAATTCAAATGAATTTTTTATAATTGCCATAGTAACCAATATGTCTGGTAAGTGGGAGTTTATTTCCAACATTACTTTGGGAACAAAGTAAAACTACATTGTCTCAGCAAAAAGAAAATATTAATGATTTTTGTTTAAAATTTTGCTTCACATTTTTGTTTATGATGGAGGCAAGGGAAAATGACTTTATTTAATTTAAAAAGAGCACATTTTCCTTTAAATGGTACTTTATTTATAATTAAGTGGGCATATTCAGAAGTATGGGTGCAAAGGGAAGTTTTTGAACGACTCCAGAAAAAAGAAACTTGTACAGTGTGACGTGTTAACAAGTAGGAAAATATTAGTTCTGACGAAAGACTTCTTAAAGGCTGTCATTTACAAAAACCAGGATTGATGTGATGTTGTCATCCATTGCCTAGAGGGTAAATGCAAGCCACTTTGAGAAAGTACGAAAACTGATGTACCCTTGTTTTTTTGGGAATCTGTGTTCTCCTTATAGTGTTTATTGTTTGAAAGGGTTTCAACACATGAAAAATATGAGGGTTTTGTGAACTTATTTGGGTAACTTTATATATTTTTGTTGTTTAAAAAGGTATGCTTTGTCAAAATATAAGTGCTTTTCATAATAATACTATATTAGATTTGGATATATTTGTAGGCAATGTTTAATTATTGTTTATTTAATTAACAAACTGAAGACTGACGAGTTTTAAATAACCCACCTATGGAATGGATAGTTGGTATATAAAAATACTCTTAAAATTTTATAAATAATTTTTTTTTCTGTCAGATACGAAGTTATCAGTGTAACAGATTTTTTAAGTTGCAGTCTCGTTGAAAGGTCATTTTCTTTTTCGGTTTTATTGCATATTATTTATTCACAAAATTTATAAACTATGTAACACTTCTTTTTTTCCTGTTATAACTGTGCTCTGAATTCCCAGTGATTTCATCCATGTTCACTATGTCATAACATCAAAGTTATGTAAGCATTCAGAAGGTCAGTACAACAGAAAAAAGCACATGGATAAAGGATGATGGAATGAAAATATATTACCCCCCGATATGTTTGAGAATAGAAAGGGTAGAAATTATATAATATTGGTGATTATATTATGAATAGATTTGTATTTACTGTGCAATATAAATATAACTGCTTGTTGGAAAGGTTGCTTGTAATTTTACATTCAAATGGATTTGATGGTATTTTAATTTGAGAAATAAATGTACATGCCACAATCAAGTAGTATTGTAATGAATTTGTATATCTTCTAGAAAATATAGTTCAGTAACACCTTTTCACGTGATTTAATATAGCTCATAGCTTGGGTTTACAAAAAGTTGCAAGACTTTCTGTGAAAATTTTTTTTTAATTGTCTACCATGTTGTACACAAGCAAATTGAAACAATGTTAACTATTTAGATAGTTTCTGCTGATATGTGATTAGTATAAATACAAATATGTGACAAAAGGAAAGAAAAAGACTTGTACACTACTACACAAAACATTATTTTAATGTACCCATCATACCCTCTTACAAATTGCACATTTATTATGATTCTCAGGGGATCAAGAAAGTCATATTTTACAATGCTTCTCAATCTCTTTATAAAATATTGATGTGTCAACAATTATTTAAAGTTCATCATTTCTATCTTGCTTTATTCTTTGGCAAGAATTATGTTTGAATTGTCTCAAATGTCATCAAATATGGTAAAATCACTAGTGGTATCAATCCTTGATGCTGTCACCTTTTTTCTAAAGCTTTAAACTTTGCTTCTGAAAAAAATAAAGAAGAATCAAAAGCTGTGTCAAAATTTTGGAATGCTCAAAACTTCCTTTATGCCCCTATGTCACGAATCCCACAAATCGCCAGGAATTGACAAATTTCAGGATGCGTGGCTGAATTGTAATCAGTTCGTGAAGTTCTTAACAGATTCGTATATATTCGTAGTCAGTTCTTGCAATTTCTTGATCAATCACGAACTGATTACGTTTCAACCACGAATCCTGAAATTTATCAATTCCTGGCGATTCGTGGTCTGTGTGAAGTAGGAGCATTAGAAATTATCATTTATCTTGAGGTGTCTGTAAGGATCACATTTCATGAATGAAATAACTTTTTACTTCAAAGCCTTTAATACATTAAATCCATCAACAAAGTAAATAACATATTCTTAATTATGAATATATAATACCTAATCTTTTTGAATATGCGTCTAGCTTGTAAGCAGCCTGCTCAAGTGATGCTACACTATCCTCTATGTGGTCAATTTGATCCAAATATGGCTGAAGATGTTGGTCTGAAATATTGTATTTCAAACTATCATAAATCAAAAGCATTCACAAAAACAAATTTTATGAAAAACATTTCTTAATAAAAACCTCTGTAACAAGTGTTCTTCATTTTCACAATTATGAGGCAGCATGAAAATCTTAACAATGAAGCAGTTCAATGACCTTACCTAAAAAAAAAAAAAAAATACTCACATTTGTCATTAAGTTCCTGCATTGCTGTGCTAATGTTGGCTGTCATCTGTTTCATTTCAAAGTACTTATTCATTGTAACTTTGTTCATCTGTTCTAAAAGACTGTAATCTTCTACTGTCACTGTCAAAAGAAAAAAATCCATTTACCCCTTCACATACATTCTATCTAATATTCAAAATTAATTAAAAGACGCCCCACAACAACGTGGGTGTGTATATGACAGTGCTATAGAATACAGAAAAAAAAAGTAATTTGTAGAAACCTCACAAAAATCAAATGGTGATTTGACCGATATGATGAAGCTGGAAAATATAAAACATTATCGCGGTAATTCACTAATATAAATCGTTGAACAGTCTCAACTAATACTTATGTACTTTCTCAACATTAAGTTGTATTTTTGCTGGTTTAACAATTATAGTCATGAAATACTTAATAACTATAAATAAATACTAACTGTGAAATACTTACTAGTAAGTTCACCCATTAAATAGTCTGACATTTTATCAAACGTTTCTTTGCAAAGATCTGAAACTTCTTGGGGAGGTGGTGGTAGAGCTGGGGATCATAAAAGATAAAATTTTAACTCCAACTGAAAATATCAAAGTCACCATACTTACAGCAGTCATATCTGTCGAAAAACAACATATTTACACGCGAACATATCATGAAACAAACTTGTGTTACTACAGTAGCTGTTACTGCTAGTAGACATGTCTTATCATTCATGAAAATGTGCCTATCGTTATTGCAAAGTATAATTGTTCCTATCAAATAATGGACATTTTTGTCTTTATCTATAAAAAACAGAATTACCTGAACTACTGTCAGCAGCAGTGTCTGTTTGATACTCTGGGGAGGAAGTGTCTACTGTTTTTTCAGCCATCTTCATGCAGGTGTTTGTCTGACGGTAGAGGGAAATTCGCACCAAGACAAGCCACTTTATTTTGAATGAAGCTTAAGACAAACTAAAATCACAGTACATTTTACTATTTTTCAACATATATTGACTTCTTTTTAGGAAGCATTATATAAATGCAATTTGCCAAGTAATATCTGATTGAGTTTTTCATAAATATGTTATCTGACAAACTTCCAAGCAGCATTCATATTTTATTATTTTATGCATGATGTAAGCATTCCTTATGTCACATTGAAAAGTGACAACACCGTGAGTGACTTGTACAAATTGAAGTATTAAGATTCAGTAACATGGCGTCATACTATGATGAACACGATTGTGTGCCACTGGGAGAAGGAGAGGGGCCAAATCATTTATTACATTTAGCGAGGTTAGTATTATATTGATGTACGACAGTTAGTAAATTACTTGGGAGGAAGGCTCCTATGGACCATGGTAATATGTAGTACAGAACTATCCATAATATGTACAGTCCTATAATTTTAAATTGGTTTGATCTAAGTTGTGGAAGTGCAGTGTACAGTAACTTAGTATAATGACATAACTTAAGCCAGAGTAAATTGGCTTTTCTAATTTTGTGATCACATTACTAGTATTTTCATTATTTAGAGCTAGTACATTATTTACCAACCATGGATGATGGAAACAATTTTAATTATATTTTAAAATAATGACAAGAAAAAGTGATAAATATTATTTTTATTTTGTAACAGGTTATTAATGGATATGGGATTAACAGAAGAATTTGAAAGGTAGATATTACATTCAGTAATTGTTATACTGATTCTAAATATAAAGTAATAAAATACCTAGTTTAAATTACTAATATTTTAAATAGTGTTCAAATTGGAATAAGGGTGAGTTATTGTGAAATGAATAAACAGTAGTCTTTGATATTCATCCATTCTTTTCTTAAGTTTATTCCAACAAGAAAGGACAGCCCCACCAGCCTCCAAAAAAGCAGTGGAAGGGTTACCCACATGTTACGTTAAAGTTGATGAAGCAGGTACTTTTGCTTTTTACTTTTTTTGGTTGATTATTGCATTTAAATGCATTTTGAAGGATTAATGANCCATTCTTCTCTTAAGTTTATTCCAACAAGAAAGGACAGCCCCACCAGCCTCCAAAAAAGCAGTGGAAGGGTTACCCACATGTTACGTTAAAGTTGATGAAGCAGGTACTTTTGCTTTTAACTTTTTTGGTTGATTATTGCGTATAAATGCATTTTGAAGGATTAATGGTAGTTACCATGTTATAAAACCCCCACTATTATACAGTTGAAAAAATACATGAAAAAAGTGTGTTATTTTAATAATTAAAATCTGTGTTATATTTTTAACTAGGTGATCTTAAATGCCCAATCTGCCTTGTGCCATATGATGAAGCTGAAGCCACAAAACAGTTACCATGCCAACACAAATTTCATCCCGAATGCATATTGCCATGGTTACAAAAAGTGAGTCCTTAGTTACCAAAATAAAAAAAGAATTAGGACATTATTACTAGTAGGTGTAACATTTACAAAGGACTTCCATCCAGATTTGCCCATAATATCCACCTTTTAAAAAATCTGATAGTAACGCATTGAACATATCTCTGTTGGAGGTTCATAGAGGTCAGCCATAAGTGCCTGCAGTGTATTTTTTCTAGTTCTATATATGCAATTTTGTATAATAATGGCAGAAGCACCATTATTAGAAAAACATTTTAAAAAATGCTGTATATTTTGAGAAAAACTTTTTCCAGACCAACTCTTGTCCAGTATGTAGATATGAACTTCCCACTGATGATCCACACTACGAAGAACTAAAGAAACACAAGGTAGTTAAGAAAATAATTCTTCAGTTTATTGTCATTTTAATTATATGTACAGTAACAGAATCCAATATAGATTTTGAGTAAACATTTAAATAATTTTTTTTTTCAACTTGAGTAAAAAAACTTTATTTCGATCACTATTTTACCATTCATACCATGGAAAGTGCTTTACATAATATGTGCAACATTCATGTCAGTGGCCATTGTGATTTTCAGTAATGAATTTTTTTTCCTCTTCAGGCCAGACAGAAACAAAGGGAACATGATCTAGAAACCCTTCATGACTCAATGTTTGGATAGAACATGAGACAGTGGGGCACTGCTCTTCGTACCTCATTCAGAATGCCACTGTTATTTTCTGAACATTAAAAAATGCATCCATCTGAACAGTAGTTCTTGTCTAAAAAATTTTTTTATAGAAAGCTCTTTATCAAGATTTTTTTCTGAAACCATGAAACAAGATGAAAAAAAAACAGAAATTAAAAATCTACATGCATACTGATTAACATACTTAAATATAAACAGAAATCTTTCATTGCACATAAAACCAGTTTCACAATAACTTTTCAATAATTCCTTAAGTTTTGTGGACTATAAATGCACACTTACAATAAGATGCACTCCAATTCAGGTAAAAGCAAAAAATGTAGATTTCTCTTATTTGCAGGTCTGCTTTATAATCCTTTCCTTTTTGAAATGGTGTCTTGATATCCTGACCACTGGGGGAGTCTTTTGGAAACGTCTTCATGTACCATCAGTTGTGAATAAAGATTGTCACATTTTTGCATGGCTGTTTGTTTTAAGAACTACCCGGTGAATCTTTGTCAAACATTGAACACAATAACTGCCTCGATCCACCTCCAGCTCTAAAAAGACGCATCTTAAGGGAGGGTTTCACTGGTGTAGGTAGATCATCTGCCTCCTCATCTTCTGATAATGGGGTATTTGTTTTTTCTTTTAATGGGCCTAAGAAATTAAGAGAAAACCACTTTCAAAATAATTGTAAAAGATCCATAAACAGAAATTAACATGTTCCTAAATCTATTTTCAGTTAAACTAAGTTTTGCATAACAGCCTAATGTAATATTTTCCAGATCCAGGATAAAGTGACACTGAACTTTTTAGACCTTAAAAAATTGGAAAGTGAGCTTTTCTGCCTCATAAATAAAAGAACAGTCCTTCTAAATTATCCCCAATGACCACCACCAAAACAGGAATACCTTTAGCAAATGGGCTGTGAACTAGATGCGTCTTCAGAAACTCTGGCAGATTGCTTAGATTGAAGTCACAGTTTTTCAAGTGAGATGAAAGCATAGCTAACTGTCCAATAAAATCACAGCCATGTTTCCTGAACGGACACGTGACCATCTGATCTCCTATGATATTCTCCAGGATGAAGTCATGATGCAAGTCTTTTGGATGAACAGGTTTTCTGTAAAGATGAAAATCTGATAGTAAGAGGGAGGAATTTGTTGTTGGCCCAGACAACTGGTGACAAATAAATGTACTAAGCCCAATTATTCCTGGTCCACGGGACAACAAAAATAAAGAATGGTTGTGACATTGGCTAGGACACATGCTCATTTTGGAAAACTTAGCCAATTTCTTCCTAAAATGCAAAATGTTCCTTAAGAGCATTTTAAGAACTGTAATTACAAACAGATAATAAAGGGTAATTTAGGATTGGTATTAATTGGAACTTGTCACTCTTGACATAACACATTTACAAATCAATATGTTTGGCATGAATTCAAATGTGATAATAATCAATCTATTAAAAACAACTGGCTATTCTTACCTGTCTTCTGGACATGTTTTGCTTTGATTAAGCCATGGTAATATACACTGAAAAAGGGTCAATCAGCTTATCAAATCTAGTCACAAAATGTTAAATTGGAATAAAAGTACTGAGCTTTATATATTCAAAATTAAGAAAACAGTCCTTAAAATTGATAAAATCACTGCTATGTCTGAAATCATATAATGCTCTACAGAATATTACAAAATACATAAATAAATCTAAGGAAAATTTATCACATTATTTTAAAGATTGTTTACATTTACACCAACTTAAGATTTTAATATTGTGCTTTAATACTCACTCTTTTGCAGAAACTATGTCCACACGGGGCTCTATATGGATTGACATAAACCTCTTGGCATATGGAACAAAACAGGTGCTGGCTCACAGATTCTGGATTTAAAAAGTATCTGAAAAAAAAAAAAAACGATCTCTCTCTTTATTTATATATATCTGCACGTCCATGATACTGGGTAACAACAATGGGACATGGAACATCACAATTTCAACCTGCCGCTGATCTTGTGAGCACCCTATTCGCCTAGAATATGCATTGTATTTTGCTTTATATTCATGCCCCATTGCTGTTACCCAGTATTGCGGACGTTCAGATATAATACCCCCTAAAATCACATCTCACTCTCAGCCGACATCTGTTACCTTTTGTAAAATACTTATAACCTGTTTTCATAAATTTGAACATTATTGCTGTTAAAACAGAAATTAACATAGTCCTAATCTAAATAAAAATAATAAACCTTTCATCACACTCAGCCTCTGACGAGGCTGGCTGATCATTTTCTTTCGTTTTCTGTCTCTTCGGCATTGTCAACTACTTTTCAAAATAAGCACTATTGATTCGTTTCTTCCCTTCAATACCAAAGAGCAAGACGTGCCAGCAAACTAAGCGACATTCACCAGCTATCTGATCAATGTGCCGTTTCATTCGCACATTGAAACGTTTTTGCTTTTTCTAATACTAAATATTTGCACCTTACGCGAAAGGATTTCATCGAAAGGATAAATCATCAAAATTATTAAGTTAATGATTAAAGAAAAACCTTGGTTATACCTTATAAAAGTGAACATTTGAGTCATGCGCGATTTTGACTTGCCCCATTAATTTGCTGTTTTATTGCATATTTCTGTCCATTATGAAAAGAAATCAATCGTGATATAAAACGTGATACCATTGTTTACTTTTGGTAGAATAGCCCTTATTGAGAAAACCTGTTATTCGTTCTAATAATAATAATTGTTGTTGTTGTTGTTGTTTAGATCTATAGATCTACCTGTAAATGAAGCAAGTTGCCAGAAAAGGGAGAAGATCCAGGATTATTTGAAAGGGGGGGGGGGGGGGGGTCCGCGGATGCGAAGCCGACCCTCACCTGATCTCCACTGATTATCTGCATCCTTTTTAAGAACAAAAAGTTTGTTTACTTTCATTTCTGATCGCAAATTGCCTAATTTATTCCTGAACAAGATTTTTTTTAAATATTTCGAGTGAAAAGAGTGCTAACAGCAATCATCGGAATCATTTTGCACCTAAATTGTTTTATCGACCATTTTCAACATCCATCACCGCACCACCCATGATCTTGATTTTTTTTTCTTTAAAAACACTGTACCGCCCCACCCCGTTTCCATTTAGAATGAAATATTGTTAGACAGTTGTTACCTTACCTATTAAGTTGTAGAGACACATTTAATATATTTTTGTGGGTTCTCTGTCCAGAGTCTATCAGAGAGTAACGAACCCACACCGAATCGAAACTTTGTCCATTTGTTAACAGGAGAAACAGACTTGAAAATATGAATTTATTTCAGTGCGGTTGCTGATATTGACGTGACTGTTAAGGAAAGAAATTTCACCATGAACACGATCCCCTCGACATGTAGGCCTACTATCCATCGAGTTCTGTAGATACGAATATTAAATAATCCGAATAATCATTGATTTAAATATTGGTTATTTTGTTCCTTTTTACCATTGGAACTTCCGAAGGCTGCTTATTTAGTAAGACCAGTAGTGCGGTTAAAGCATTCCGTCTCATTTTATTCAACAGTTTACTAACAATGATCACTCAAAACAAGGAAGTAGATATTTTCTTGTTCAAACTCACCCGCATAACAAAGACGCAAACTGGGTCAATATGTGGAATTTCTCTAATATACTCCCCACGTTGGTCGTTCTCGAACAAACGGAACGTAGAGTGCAGCGTTTTACTGATATGAATAGGATGGGCCATTATCGGACCGTCTTCAAAGAAACCGTGTAAACAAAACGGTTAAAGGAAGAAACTGCTCAGTCCAAATGAGTTACGCCCCTTGACCATAATTCCCCCGATTTGTATTAACTGCAAAATTAACAAGTTTTGAGGTTAACAAATATATATATCGTGTTGAGTCTGAGCGAAAAAAATGACGTAAACTTTGCGTACTTGACTTTTTTCTTCCAAATTTTTTGTTTAAACCACGATTCCTTGTGTCAAATAGGAAGATTTTGGACTATGCTATGACCTTACACACATCATAATAATTAATGGCTTTTTACAGCTTTAAAAAATCCGATATACCGGTAGAGTCCACAAAGATGCGTTGTTGCTCTGCAGGCTTTGCACTGCCGCTTGAACCTCCGTACATCTCTGTCGGCCTATCAAACAAAAGTTCAGGGAAACAATAATATAACACTTCCCAATTCATATGTTTACGACGTAAGTTTATTGGTTTTAATAAAATCTTCGCAATCTTTTAATTCTCATACTCATAGCTTCTTTTCCATCTTTAGGATGTGGAAAAACGTTCCATCGAGAAAAACTTGATAAAATGTTATACACGAGTGCGTCAAACTGTGGTATGGAAAAAAAACAAGAATTTACCCAAGTGCCCTCTAGCCCTCTAGCAAATAGAAAATATTGCGAAGCTCCCCCCTTCTCCATGGTATATCAACCAACATAATGCGTTCAGCATAGTTCTCCTCCGGTCTCTGGTCGGAAAAACGGCTCAATCACAACATCAAACTTTGTAGAGAAGATGATGCTTTTGATTTCAAAGAAAGGCACCTTCAGTCAGAAGTCTAAATTTTGGTCATATTAAACATCTTTAAATCAAAAGCCATTGGTAAAATATTGTCCTCTCCTTCAGCGTTTCACGTCACAACTAAACCTTTCCAACCCAACCAATACACAACACATTCAATTCAAAAGATATACTGAGTGAATATGATTGTATTTACACAAGACCATTCAATGAAAAGAAAATATGGAATACTAAATTTACAGATGGATAGGTTCAACTATTCAGTGACAGCTATTAAAATGCTATTAGAATGAAAAATACCAAAAACAAAAATGACTGCGTCCCTTAAATTGATGCAACACTTGCCTTTTAATACATTTCAGATCTGGAATGATTATTTCATATAAGTCTTCTTGGGTGTTTTGTTACATAAGTATAAATGCATTTCTTTCTTTGTGAAGCAGCCAATTACAAGCTATACAATTGAACACCTGCTGTATGTAAAAAAATATTTTCAAAAATCATCTTAATAAATAATTTCTCATGTAATTAAACTAACAACATTAGCCTTTTGATAATAAAATGCATTTAAGCAGTTTACATATTTACCACCCCCAATTTGTTTATATTTTCGTTTTGTTAAGAAGCAAATCCCCTGTCAGAAAATAAGAGCTTAAAATATCTACACAAATATTTCATAAACAGAAGTATAGTATTAACCAGATGACTTTTTTTAGTGTAATAGCACAAGACTTCTAAGAAATGAAATTAACAGTTCAGTCAATCAGCTAATCATTCCTAGATTAAATAATTGAATACAAACACTAATGATAAGTAAAATCTATTCCCAATATATTATTACATCTAATGTCCTGCATGAAAAAGGAAGTTCAAATCCTTATCAACTGCACTGTAATGCCAAAAATATTCCTAATATTCAAGTTTGCCCCCTCTTCGAATCCTGCAAAGACTACATATTTTAGTATGGTTATTTTGGGTAAAAATCCATGCAAAACTACAAAGGAAAATAAGTAAAATCTCCAGATTTCTGTTAATATGCAGTTGACAACCATAATGATTTTGCACTAAGTCTCAGAAGACAGCCATAAAGTATGCTCTTCCAGTGAAATAATTTAGACATTTCAATCCAATGGTTTTACAGGTCATTCTCGAACAAAAGGTCATTTATCTGGCATTCATTTTTCTATCAGATTTCAAAACCCATGGATTCAGTCCTGCTGATGCACAGGTAGATCAAAAGAAAAAAAAATCACATGTGTAGTGTTTTCTGTTGTTAATCCAGCTTATCCAAAGACAGCTCCACAATTGGGACACCTTCTCTGTCTCATTGCTAAACAGCACAGAATTCCAATGGGAAAAAACAGGATTGCACACAATACACCCAAGCACGTGAAATCATCTTCAAGAACTCCAACCTACAAAATTAAATTTAAAAAATGTGATATTCTATAGAAACTGAAAAAACTGAAACTGAAAAAAAACTCCAAATTTTCACATTGTCTAATTTTGATCATTATGTTCAATACACAGCATCCACAAAGAAGAGAAATACATAGATAAAAGTGCATGAGCACCAATTATTAACAAATTACCTAGAACACCAATGCCTGCAAAATACAGATATACAAGAAGTGCTTACCCTGCAAGCTGGGCATCCTCCCACTACAACTACATTCTGTTGTACTGGCACTGCTTGTGGCTGTTGGTAGTGTGGCTGGTAGCCCCCTGGGGCTGGCTGATAGCCCCCTGGGGCTGGCTGGTAAGCACCCGCTGTTGGGTAATTTGCTGCAGGAGGGTAGCCCTGTTGATACCCAGGATAAGCACCAGCTGGGAGAAGGGGAGTGCAAAGAAATAAAATGAGAATACCAACTCCCTCACAGAAGCGTACATCTTTGTTATTGTTGGTCTTTGCAATGCTACTCTATTCATAAAATTTAAATAAGAAATAAATGCACTAAGCCGATTCTCACAAGTAAGAGTACAAAAACACTACGCAATATGCAAGACACCGACTTCAGTGTGATATACAACAAATACAAGTATATTTACTTACCTCCAGGGCCATATTTAGGTGGCTGGTTAGGAGGATATCCTGGATAATTCTGAGGTGGTGGAGCACCTTGTAAGGACTCGTAAGCAGGTGGTTTTTCACCTCCATCTGGTGGAGGAGCACTGGGCATTTGTGACATTTTGGAGAAAATATGCTACTTGCTGAACCTAAAAATGAGATTGTGCTTTTTTAAAAAAATCTATAGCAAATGGAAACAATATGACGTACTTCTAACTCCATTACAGTTATGGTAGTCTTCTGTGGTGAATGATTTCATGGCAGCTTAACGGGGTAGACAAGCAGATGAACCTTACCCTCTTCACAGCCTCTGGATGGGTATACCAGCTGAACATCATTTTACAGTTATCTATGACAAACCTTTATGCACAGTCACATAACGCACATAACACACATAAAAGTGCTAACACATGATTTTTTGAGGTAGCCTAAATCTTTGTTCTACTGACTCTTTCAAAGGATGAGTTTGTAACATTTAATTCAATAGCTAACTGTGGAATAGTAAGAGAAACCAAAATGATCAGATCTACATCTTATTTCTCTTAGAAATGACATTGGCGATGATACTGCTAGCATATACCCCCTTCACACTACAGTCATTTATTCGAATAAATAGCGAATTAGGTCCCGATTCGAATAACTGTAGTAGTCTGAATGCGTGAGGATTTTTGTTAACCGGTTTCTCAAAATCCAGCTGGTGAGCTGGATTTTCTTCAGCCATTTGAATAAGTTAAGAAGTTAAGATGATGAGAAACTGGTTTCAAATTAAGATATGGCTGCCTATGTGTAATCATACATGGTGATATTCCAAATTTCACATTTACACAGTGATCCACAACTGGGCAGGACTAGAAAAAACTGTCATTTCTTGTCCAAAATGGGTCTCGCTATGTTATTAATTTACCATTCCTTTTATTTCTATCAAAAATAAAAAAACCTTTATATTTAATTTTTATGTGTACACTTACTGTGGTGTACGAGAGTACAGGTAGCTATTCTCTTAATTTAATGAACAGCTACTACATCATACAGTACACTGTAGTAGTATTTGGTAATCATGTTTTTGTCATACTTGTGTATAAATATATTACCAAAACGTTATGCCAGTATGGCTGAATGTCAGATTCTATAAAAAATTGACTTGTGCTATCGAATCGTTATCACATAAACCCTAATTCAAACATCAATATTCATGAACGATTGAAGCAATGATTATTGTAATATTGACGCCAATGTGGCAATGATGATGGTTACAAATTGCAACAGAACCTTTATTCGTCTCTGATTCAAGTCTAGCAACGCTTGTTTGTTAAGAAGACAACCTCCAAAAGCTTATCAAAAAAGAGATAAATATTATGAAACGAATCTGAAAGATAAACACTACACTAATACTGAATTTATCCTAAGAGTCACAGGTAACTTACGTTGTTTCTGTTTCCTCGCTCGATGCTTATGAATGACGTCATTGGGTCACGAGTATGGTCCGTTTTTATTTTTGGTTGTAGTTTGCTTCACGATTCTGGTAAAATGAATCTTTTCATCTACAAAAATTAACTCTGATATATCAAAACAAAGAAATTTACAATTTTTACTAACAAAATTATACTGTATTTCATGCCTAAAATAGCATATCAGAAACTAGAAACATCGAAAAGAAAAACTACACAGCAGAGTATATACTTTGACCTATTTTGCTGTACATTTCCTGCTGGGAAATTGGCATGCATAAATTGTACAGGTGCGTTTTTATTTTAATCACCGACGTGACTCTGACTAATTCTTATTCTAATACTAGTTCTTCGGTGTGTTAGAATTGATGTTTTTGTTATTTTTAATATGATGTTCTATCAAGTAAATTGTTTTTGTCGAATGAAACTGTAAATATGTAATTATTATTGTACATTGTAATGTTAGGTAAATAAAGATGAGTGAAGTCGTTTATGAAGAGAGTGCAGTAAATAAGTATGCACAAATATGCATGCATTGCATGTATGACTTTCGATGAGTTAGGTTATGCCCAAAGTCAGTTTGGTTTTAACGGTAACCTTTTTAATTATTGATAATAATTTTGCAAATTAGTTTAATGTTTTTTTTCCTGCCGGCTGTGCAAGCAAATGAACTTCGATTCTGCAGTATTCCCACCCATGCTGTACACACCAGTACCTATACTCATCTACACTGACTTACTTAATATGCATATTTGTTCACTGTGCTAATTAATGATATAGGAATTTCATAATCAGATGTAGGTGTTAGAACAACTACATGTATGTCAAGAACATATTGAACACAGCTGGACAAATATTGCTGGTATATATAGATTTACATATGTTTTTCATTGACTTCACCAGTACCATTCTTACTGGCCAAACTTCAGTCACAGATGATCAGATGCACAATTCACAGCTGCAGTAATTTCATTATTTTAAAGGCCACATTTACGGCCCCACACGTTATATTGGTTTCTAAGTTGGTGTATCCAGTGCTATGAATTGTTGATGAAATTCCAACTCTCCATACCACATAGGATTGCATGTTGCTAATGTTTCTCAAACCTGGGCTTTTTTATTGGCCATCCGAGCTGAGTCCAAGCAGATGACATCAGGCATAAGGGATATGGACCACTTTTGATAACCTTTAGTTTATTGTTTCTACATGTATATATACTTGTGGCATTTTTATTTACTACATGTATTTTTGAATGTTGAGTGAGATAGTGTAATATTGAGAATGCCATTACAATAATGCAAATATCATACATTATAAACTACCTTAGTACACCTGTGTGTGCAATCAATGGGTGTGTGGATTTTATAGATATTTTCAAACTGTGCGAGGTTTGTACATATAGCTTAAATTAAGAATGGTGGAGATTCCAAGAAGATGATAAAGACCTCTGTACCACTTAATTTTTTTCTGTGACTCTGACAATTTGAACAGATGTGAAGGTTATGAATACGACACAGCTACAAAGAGAAAACTGTGTGTAGATTACATATTAATGGTGATGTCATTTGACTCCTGTTTTCCTTTTGAAATTGTAACTAGTAGTAATTAGTATCTTCCATTTATGATTTGTGCTTTAGATAGAATATGTGAATCTATCCAGATGCCTAGCACATACCTGTGGGCAGTCAGCAACCAAGGCAGGGTATTTAAACTAGCTGCAAACAGCACATTCTGGGAGGAAGTGAAGAACAGGGACAGCCATATCACACCAGGTACCTTGAGTCAGTTCAGGAAAGTGTCCGCTGCAGTTGGTGTCACCTGGGCTGTTGGTTGTGATAGACACCTCTACATCTATGTGGTGTCTACAGATGTGCCTATAAGGGTTTTGGAATGGACATATGAAAATGAGGTACCAGCGTATATTTTTTTACATTCACAATTTTTTTCTGTTGGGTCATTTTGTAATTTTATGGTAGCTAAGGTAAACATGGCTATGATTTTTATTGAAATTATCCATGAAGTGAAGTATTTTATATGGCAATCTGATAAGTCATTTAGAGGGGTGAAAGACTTGATACTTATTATGTATGTAATAAAATTTTTGCCAGCTATTCACATCCAACAAGGACTGCCTTTATCTATACTATACACTAATCATATTCATCAGAATGTTTTTATTTTTATTTAAGAGAGATGTAAACCTAAATATGAAACAAGATGAAGTTTAAACTGAAGATATGGGAACCATGTCATTTTATACACAATATCTTACTTATTTAACATTACAATAAATACATTTCTATTAGTAATTGTTAATACAAGGTGTCATTTTTAAATGGTGAGGTTCATTGTGAAATGATATCTTATCAAATTAAGAAGTTCTGGAATCAGCCATGATTTTTGAAAAGAATGGCTAATTCTTGTTTTAGAGGTGGACCCCATTTGGAGGATTTTCCAACAAACTGTTGCCTACAGATCCAAAACACTGGAGCCAAGATGATGGCAGTGTGGAGACACCAAAGGAAAGTTTTCAGCTGCCTTCTGCTGCCTGGTGTTGGGAGGAGGATTGGTATTTTGATGAGAACTTTTATGGCCATATCACTGATAAAGGGGTAAATAAAATCAATAATGTCTGATCTTTGAAGAAATGCAACAAGCAATTGTCAGATGTGTTACTATGACTTTTATCTTAATGATGCCAGAAAAAGGTAAAGTTACAACGATACTTGCACAGAGTGTGCTCTGTGCAAATATGTACAAAAAAGCAGTTTAATTTCGAAGTACAATCTTTGATTGTAACCCAACCAAAAAGCTTAACTAGTAACTATTTTGATTGGCCACAAGTTGATGTGGTTATACTGAATACATCCTTGAAGAGCATCATGGGGACCCCTGCAACACAAAATGATTGTACTTTATTTGCAACATTTTACAGCATAAAGGTGATATCTTTAAATGATATATTGTAGCAGAAAATAACTGCTGTTGAAAAAAGCATGATTTTATATTAATGACCACATCTTGATACTTACAGGGTTGGCAGTATGCTGTAAATTTTCCTAACCAGTGGACTGCAGAGCAAAAATGGACTTCTTGTGTGAGGAGGAGAAAGTGGATTAGGCATAGAAAGTACACTGCCACAGATATATGGAATAAGGTGATTTTATTGTGATGATTGTTTAAGGAGAATAAGCTACTATTATTTTTATAAAGGAAATGAAAATTGGTGAAAATTATGTGAATTGTCAACTATGAAGTAAAACGATGATGATGATTTATTCTTTGTAGTTTAAGGCCTCTGGCCAACAATACATAACAATCTGTACAAATACAGAAGACATATACAATCAAGGTTTTACATACAGAAATAAATTATGAATACACCATACATATACAAGTATTTTATTTACATATCTGGATGGTTAATATTGTTATCTACAATATCACTTCTTAGTGCAAAGGCGTTCAATAAAAATCTAGTCAGTGAGAAAATACTCTCTTCGTTCTCGTCAGACATTATAGTTGTAAACAAATATTTATTTGGAAAGTGGGTTGTCCATTCAGTTCTAAAGTATTTCAATCTGAATTCGTCGTACAAGGGACATAAAAGTAAAAAATGCATTTCGTCTTCTACTGTGTGAATGCCTAGTCTGAGACATACACCCCATTTCCATAGATTTTTAGATCGATCTATCCCTGTGGGGAGTCTCACTAGATTACTGTCAGCTTGGCCGGCTTAAGCGTCTGTCCCGCCTACTAAAAGCTGTAAGGGGGTAATTAACTATGGTGCCCGCTCCGCTGACTGCAATTTAGTGTGAACCCCCAGGGAGTTAGGTCGATCTAAATCTTAATCTTTAGATCGATCTAAATCTCTGGGAAAGCACCCATAGAGGGCAAAACCTGTGATCTCTGTCGATTTTTGTATATCAGCCTCTTCGATCATGAGCTCATGACTTGAGCAACAAAAATTTGAAAGTATTTTTCTTTGCTTGTAGGTTAAAGGCAGTGAAAGATATCGCTCGGGATATAAAGCGCTTTTGTAGAGTTTATAACTGATGCATTTAGATGATAGATTAATATCGACAAATATTGTTTGTTGTGCACAGTCTGTTATTCTAGTTCTAAATAAACTTAAGAACACCTCTGCATCCCCGATATCGTTCGCTATCCAGGCACATCCAAAAACCAAAACGAAATAATACGTGTTTAATGCAAGTCGCCCAAGATGACCTTCCTTCAGTGTCTAAACGGCGTAACATAATATAACGTTGCTTGGGGTACCTTTCTGCTGGCATGGTTAACAGTTTGACCCAGTATTTAATACATTTAGTCATATATGACACATAAAGAGGGAGTCTACCACATTCGCTTAATGCTAGAACATTTGTCACATTTTGATTGAAGCAGGCCACTCTTTTGCAAAAACGGACATGAATTTGTTCAACTTTTGTGCAATTCTATTTCCTTTATATGTCCATTTTTCACATTTTTTAATACACCACCTCACCTGAATACCATTATCTTGGATTTGTCTAGATTTGATTTCATACCTCTTTTGTCACAAAAATCACTCACTGAATTAATTTCTCTTTGTAGCTTAATAACAGTTTCTGCAATAGTTGAGACGTCATTCGCAAACATTAAAGCATGCAATTCTGTAAAGTCTGCAGTAATAAAGATTCCATTACCACATTTAAGTTTCATGTATTCAACCAAATCGTTCCCAAATAGAGAGAAGGTGATCGTAGAGCTCACACATGATTGTTTGGTTCCAATTTCGCATGGGAAAAATGGAGAAAGACAATTTTGTGTCTTTATACATGATTTGAGTTGGTTATACATCGTTTTAAAAACTAATAGTAGATTACTGTTGTCTGGAATTCCTTTACGCTGCAGGCTTTTCCAGAGTTGTTCATGGACACAATTATCATAAGCTTTCAAAAAATCTATGTAAAAAACACAAAGTTGACCTTTCTGTCTTGACAAATATTTTTGGATAACTGCTTGAAGGCTAAAGATATTATCTGTTGTGGAATACCCCGTGCAAAATCCAGCTTGAGATTCGTCTATCACACCATTTTCCTTGGCCCATGAAAAAAAAGAAACAACCAACTTTTCTTAGTGCCTGTTTCAAAAGGCATCAGATCATTTTTCTTTCACGTTTTCTAATGCTGCATAATTACAGTCATAGTTACATGTTATCACTGATATTTTCCCCCAATTTTTTATCTGCAACTTACAGATACCTGGTGTACCTGGTGAATCTTCAGGTACACCATTTGCAGACGTAGCAATTGGTGGCCAGGACATGCCAAATCAATCCCTGGGGCAGTTGTGTGTATGGGCTATCACTGACTCTGGAAAGGTGGTTTATATTAAATTACTTTGATAGTTTTCAACAACAACAACAATAATAATATTAAATAAATGATGAAAGTTAACCTAAAATAAGTTGAGATCATTTAAAATATGTACTGGATTTTTAAGTACCTAGTCATTTATGATATTTTAATGTTTATTGGAACAAATTCCCCATAGCCCATTTTGGACTTTTATCAGTGCAAATGTCACTGTTCAAAAGTATTGTCATGAAAAATTAACCCAACTTATTTTTAAGCAGGTATACTTTAGGACAAATGTCACAAGAGATTGTCCTGAGGGACAAAACTGGCAGGAAATCTCAATAGGAGAAGATCTGGAAGTGATAGCTGTGTCTGTGGGTCCCATGGGACATGTATGGATAACTACATGGGATGGAAATGCATTAGTGAGGATGGGAGTGACCTGGGACAATGTTATTGGTAATAATAATAATAATAATAATAATCATCATCATCATCATCATCATCATCTTGTAAGTAGTAAAAAAAATCTTGTAGCCATGTTGGACCCCTAAATTCACTCATTCTAAAAAAAATCTAAATTACAAAAAAATTCCTCATAAAAAAACTAAACATAACTTGTAATTGTTTTCATTTGTTTACAATTTTGGAGCTTGACATAATTTGTAGATTTACTTTAAAATTTTACAGATATGGTGAGTACTTTAACTATTTTTTTATTGTATTAACTTATAAGGAACACACTGGGTTAAAGTGGAAGCCCCAAGCAATGAGATAACATTTTTACAAGTGTCTGTGGGAGTAAATGCTGTCTGGGCTATCTCCAGAGATGGAAAGGTGAGCCAGAAATGTACTATATTTGAATACATACTTAATATCCATCTTCTGCAGCAGATTTCTTGAATTCTGTTTTTTTTTTATTTGTAAAAGTACTTATTAATTCATTTTATATAGATGGCTTCATTGTTTAGTCTGCAGCTGTTGCTGTCAGTGGAGCAGTTCCTGTGTTATAAAAGTCATGTGAATGAAAAAAGTCTTATCTGAAAATTTGTAAATAATCAGTTTACCATTGTTGATCAGATTTCAGAATATACATCTTTACAGCAAAATATGTATTAATAGTAGGTTAGACACAGAAGGTTTTTCATTGAATTGGCCATAAAGAATTTATTTTTAATAATATTATTATTAAAGCATATGTATTATTTGCTACCAGATATGGTTTCGTCGTGGAGTAGTTGGTAGCAGTAGTGACCAGGAGTCGGTGACAGGTTCAGGTTGGATAGAGATGGTAGGGGAAATGTCCATGTTGTCTGTGGGACTCAATGATCAGGTAACAGAGAAATATTAAGAGCAGCGAATGATGTTAAAATAGAGATAATGATATATGGACTGCATTTTTGAAGAACTTTTTGATTTATGTTTGCCTATGTCTCTTTCTTCCCAAGATAATGCTGCCGACATGTTGATTTATTGTTTTACAGTTAAGACACATGGAAGGGAATGAAACTTGGGTACTAGTAGGTAGTCCAGTTACATATTTTATCCATTTTACTCTATGAAATGGATTATAAACCCCATTTTTATCCAAATAAAGACACGTACCTCACTAAATATAAAAAAATAAATGTCAAATGTTCCCACTAACAAATGGAACCTTATTGCCTTCAGGTGTGGGGAATAGGCCTCAATGACAGGCTTATATATTATAGACTGGGTGTGACACCATCCAACCTTGGAGGGAAAACATGGAAGGCAATCAGTTTGAAAGCAGGAAAAACTATAGATTCATGCAGCAGTTACTCCAGTGTTGCTTCCTTTGATGCCACCTACACTTGCTCAGCCAGTTATACAACTGATCCTCTTAATCCAGGAAAGGACTCATTTATCACTGATGATAGATCAATACACAAGAAAAATGATGAAATTCGTGGTAAACAGCACAGTGATCTGATTGATAATGGCAAAGAAAAGGAATCATCTCAAAATGACTGGAATGCTGAACCAGACTGTGATTCTAAAAATACAAACAATATGAATACAGGGAATGTTCTCAAGGAAGCCTTAGAAACAGTCCCGAAATTTAAGGATTTTGAAATTAATGACCAGCAAGTGCCAAAAGAAAGCAAGACAGAGACTGTAGATGTAGGGAGCAAGAGGGATACTGTGGATGTAGGAAAAACACTAAGGTGCAATACAGAGGACAATACCAACTATAATTCTGAAAATGATGGTACATTTAAATTTTCAATTTTTGAGAGACAGAACAGTTATGACCTTTCAGCTTCAGATTCAATAATTGATTTTGTTTCTGACATGGAACTGGAGAGTGACCAAGACACAGAAAAAAGCCTTAGAGCCACCTCAAATGAAGAGAAGAAAAGTCAAAGAGAAATCATAGGTGATGGTGATGGTCAAAAAAATTTGGATCTTTCCAGTAAGAAAAATATTGAACTCGACACTATTGACCATAGGACTGCAGATTCCTCCTCCAATTTACCAACTGTGCAGAATATTAAATCTTCACCAGAACATCATTATGACATTGACTCATTAAGCTGTGACTTTATGGTCCTTACCCAGTCTGACTTTACAGGAGAACCTCTCTTCACAGCTGTCAGTGGTATGGCTTGCAACATTGATGTGATGTCAACCCCTCTGTGGTTTTCATCAGAATTTGGTAAGGATGGGATATATTTAACAATAATTATTTTCCATTATATTTTTGTCCATGAATTAGATGAAAAATGCTAACATAGCTATATGTTTCTGATGAATTGTTTATAGGAGCATTTTGATAATTGTCATTTTTTTTTAAATTTAGATTTTGACAAACCAAAAAAGTCTTCCATCACCACTTTTGGCAGTGACAAGTGGAGAAAAATTCTACTGAACCAGTTACATGCCAGAAACCTACGCGAGTTATCCAAGTTTCAGCATTATGAGCAGGCTATTGAAAGGGTAGGTTGTAGGTACTCAACAAAAGCACACATTAGGAAGATTGCATGTACTTACATGTTTTGAGATTTAGTGTAAAGCACCGACTGTTTTGAGAAGGTTTTTAGATGGCATTTGGTGTAAGCGATTGTCATTGTGCATTATTTCCTTTTCAGTAGTGCATATATCTACAGTAAATGTTTGTCTGCTAAAATTTTACAGATTTGCTGTTGTTTTCTTTTGCTTATTGTCAGATGGCATGCTTACTTTTCATTCATTTAGATACTACATATTTTTTTATTCTTTATGTATTTATAAAATGTCACTAGATTCATAATTTATGTTCATATTCTTATTGATATCTATAAAGACAAGCAGGTATAGGGAAATAAAGAAAATAAATTGTTACTGAATTCCCAGTTTTTCAGAGCCTAAAGCAATATATAATAAATTAAAGTAAAAGGAAATATGTATCAATTTTGTATTTTTCTTTTTGCAGACCACATGGGTCAAGAAAGGCAAGATGCAATGGTGGAGGGAACATAAGCCATGCAAGTGGATTGAATGTGGGCTGGAATTAGAGCAAGGGTCCATAGAGAAAGAGGGGACTTTAACAATACACTATGAGCACAAGAAAGTACAGAAAGTAAGATATTTTGATTTCAAAATATTAAAACTGATGCCCACAACTCAAAGTTCTGAAAAAGTTTCCTGGGAGCTTTGGGCTATTACTTTTAAGCCTTGCTCTCTCTGACATATAATATTGATGAAGTCATTTAATTGCAACAAGTAGGGTATTTATTCTCACAATAAAAATAGTGTCTTGGTGTCTTTATACTGAAATGGAACAAAGCATCTTGAAGTGTTCAAGCAAAGATACTATGCAAGCAAAAACCGTGCTTAAGGCCGGTGATAGGGTTAAATACACTTAAAATCATGTTTTTGAGTTTTTTTGTGTGTTTATATTAATAAAAAAAGTATCTAACGTTGGATGTAATAATTTTTTTGAATTTGCACCGCAAAATGTGTCTTTTGATGAGTTTTTCAACCGGCACGCGCCCCAGTCAGGCTGACAACTCTGTTGCTAAGGGCCGTTGCCATGAGGGGGGTGGAGCATAGTTAATGAGTTATAAGCCGATTACGTGTGCGGTGATAGGTCATAAGTCTTACATCAGCTAAGCAGTGAAGAAGTCGAGTACGCTAGGGGGAAGAGAAAAGTTTGTGTTAAAAGTCCATTTCCAGAGGAAAGAAAGAAAATTTTGAGAGTATGTGGGCGGTTGGAGGAAAACCGGTATTTGTTCAGTCGGATGACGAGAGAGAGAATCTACCTGGAGTGTGCGCTCGTAAGATTTTGAAGGACTTTAAACAGCCCTCGGAGTCTTCTGACAGTGATCGTGAGGAAGAAACAGTAGCTACTGGGTACAGGCTATGGCACAGTGGACAGTTGTTAGAAAGTGCCTACAAGTCGTGTGTTTGTCGTGTGTGTGGCGGCGACGTTGTGTTGGTCGAAAGACAGTTACAGCCATTGGCGCACGTACAGCTCAAATAAAAGCATCATGAAATGTTTAATATTATTCGTCTTTCTTTTTTCTTTATGTATACCTAATAAATGGGTGAAAGAGTAAATCGAATCGTCTAAATTAATTGAGAAATGTATTTGTACGAAACATTTATTACTAAAAGAAAAAAAGCTAGAAACGTTACTTTTAGCCTAGCTCTTAATTTTGGCGATATATATCGGTGAGCGTTACGAAACTGGAAACGATTGTTGGACGCCGTTTGTAGAAGGTAGAAACTTATGTTGACAAAATATAAACTTATTAACCAACAAATGAAATCAAGGAGCTTAAGAGACACGCAAAAAATTGAAGTGAATGGCCAAATGAGAGAAACACAAGCAAGTGTTGACAGCATGATTAAAAAAAATAACAATGAAAATAAAAACGCATGTTAACTTGCATTTTGTGATGTTTGGAGAAAAACAATGTCAAAATCACAGATCAAGCGGGAAGAGAGAGTTCAAAATGTACCCAAAATAAAAATCACAAAAAGACTTCTTGAAAAAATTAATAATCCCCCCCCCCACCCCCGAGTTCACAGTTACCAGGATAATCAGTTAAGAACTACTACTGTCACCCAGTTTTATCTAATCACTTTGCCGATAACAAAGAAGGAATCTCTCAGGTAAAATTACTCGATTGCCGAGGAAGAGCCATTGAAATGTTCAAATGCAACTTCACACCTCTTAATTGCGGTTAAACGTAATCGCCTTTGTTAGCGCTTCCTTCTACATATCCTTGACACCCTACGGGGCATCACTAGGCTAGGGCCCTCTCCAGAGCTGTCAATCAAAATGGCGGCACGCTTACATGCCTAACGAGTGGTCCGAAAATGTAACAAAAGCACGATTTTCTGCCCCTTCAAAGCACCCAAACAAAATATTTTTAGATGACAATAAGCAATGGTTCCATCTGATCGTATAACCGATAACAGGTAAATTTACCAGCTAAGCATTTGACTAATAAGCCCTGTTAACCAACCTGTGAACGTTTTTGGCTGTTTTAACAGCTTTCTATATTGACGAGATAAGTGAATCGCTGCCAAGTATATCTCACTATCTGAGCAACCGATCGTTACAAAAGTTGCACCTATTGTTGTTAGGAATGTGGACTACAGCATGATGTCAGGGGTTTAAGGGGAAATTGTTTGTTTGAAAGTTATCGCCTTTTGAAGTGAATAACCTATTGAAATATGGGCTGATTTAACGTAAAAGATGATAAAATCAAAAGTAAATAGTTTAAGACAATTCCCTGGTACCCCGCTGTAGTGCTTTCACCCAGCTTTATGAGGCCTTTTGAATCACTTGAATAGCTGTCTTGGTTATAGAGAAAATCCCAATACCTAAAACGGCATTTTCCCCTCAAATTGGCGCCAGAGAGTCATCCGTTGGACACTGTACTTAATCCCCGTCTTTAATTGGCCTTTTGGGAAGTTTGTTTTAATTTTTTATAAAAACTTATAAGCCCAGGGCTTTGTTTCTATGACTTTGGTCCTTTTACTATCAGTCACCTTAATTTTGATTTAGTTGAAAGTATTATATTTTGAACAGGGAATTTGTTGTGTTTTATACGTTTTTCAAATGTGAAATAATTTCCCTCCTCAGCACATACAGCTGCAGCTGTCAGAGATAGTGTGTGTAGTGGAAGTTAAGGACCCAAGTAACAAGTCAGTGTTTGGGATTTTTACAACACCAAGATTAAGAAAAAATATGGCACTAAAATTATCAACACCAACAGAAGAGGAAGAAGAAGACTGGGTATCTATCTATCTGTCTGTCTGAAATATAGCATTAAAATGTTACTGTATGAAGGTTTATGACTTTGGTTTTTTGAATTAAGAAAAAAAAAAAATCACTGTTTTAGATGGTAGATATTAATTATGAATCAAGTGTCCTATACTTCAGGTATTTGTAAAAAGAACATGATTCTGTCATGCTCAGGTTAAAACATTTATTCTCTAACCTAACCTGTTCTTTTCTTGACGCATTTCAGTCATACCACACTTATATTCAGACTCTGGTACTTTTTGTCATTTAAATATGGGTCTTTACAGGTGTCTTCAATCAGCCAGGCCTGCTGTAAACTGCGTGGAATAAAGGGTCCTGTACACGAGAGAGCTGCATGGTCTACAACAGCACTGGGAGATGTGTTTGTCCATAGCCCTATACCCAACCTGGGAGACATCCCTGCCAATGAAATGTATGTTTTATAATGTAATGTAATGTAATGTAATGTAATGTAATGTAATGTAATGTAATGTAATGTAATGTAATATGTGGTAAGTTTGACATTGTATTTTGGTTACTTTGCACATGTGAGGTATTATAGTTTTTTTTTTTTTTTTTTTTTTTTTGCTGCGTCATCTAAGTTACTACTGCAAAGACTCACTTTATCATTAAATGTTACAATTGTAAACTGTCTCCAGTTTTCAGCCAATAATTACTATTCAAGTTCATTCTTTTAAGAAATATTGAACAAAACTTTCATTTATCTACTGTTTTCTGTAGCTTTTGGTATCAGCTTGGAGGCCATCTTGAAAAAGTGGAGAGCAACAGGTCTGGTATAGTGTGGGGCCTTGGCTATGACCACACAGCTTGGGTGTACAATGGAGGCTATGGAGGGGGACTTTTTAAAGGTATGAACCATCTGTAAAGAGTTTAATTCTGAACATTTGGATTTTTTTATGTTTATTTATTTATTTATTTTGTGAAGACATCTTTTTGCACAGTGGATCACTTAATTTTATTTTTGGTAAGAAATTCCTATGCACAAATTTTGGACTGCATTTAGATGTCTTACTGTACAGTGGGACACTTAATTTCGATTTCTTGGTTAGAAATTCACTTGTATTAATTATTGCTCTGTTTTAACTTAGTACATTTTATTTACTGGAAAGAACACTTTGAAGGAAATTGAGTTATTTTCAGGTCTGAACAGCGACCTTGATAAGATCAACTCCATGACAGACATAAGGAGTATATATGTGTATGAAAATCAAAGGTGGAACCCAGTGACTGGCTTTTCATACAAGTAAGAAATTGTTTGAAAGAGCCATAAGACAATGACATATAGAAAACTGAATTCCATTGGAAGAGCATGGGCCTCTTGAAAAGAGAACACAACATGAATGTTGCTTTGATGACCATCATTGAACTTTCCATATTACTTGTTACATTGAGATGACATCTGTTGAATGAAAATGTTTTTATATCTGACAGATAAATAATTTTCAGGTATTTTTAAGCCATCAAGTGAAATGCATCTAAATTTCATCATGAAAGGAAACAATATGCTTGGCAACAATTAAATATTAAATATCATGTATCTGATTTACAGAGCTCTCCCAATAGGCCGGCCCACATGGAGTGACATCTCAGGACGTGAAGAATGCACCAAAGAGAATACCAAATTACCATCTGTACACTGGCAGTGGGTAAGCTAGAATCACTCAGCCACAATGAAAAAAAAGAATGGGACTGAGACCAAATGTTTTATTTTCTTTCACCAAAATTTGTTATCCCTAGTGCAGCTGATAAACAGTGGTTAATTTCACTAAACTATACTATCTGCACTCCTCTACACTTCACTAAACCACACCACAACCCAATGGTTGTGTTTGTAGTATTATGTATTAGTAGAAATAATTTTCACTGGCCTGAAGCTACTTATCAAAAATTGTTGGTAAATTTTGACAATTATAACTTTTAGATTTCTGATTGGATGATTGACTACACTCCCCAAGGTGGCACAGATAAGGAAGGATGGCAGTATGCGCATGATTATCACATGTAAGTTGCATGTTATGTGGATGTCAATATTTTGAAGTGAAATCTCAATTAGAAACTCAACTGGCATCTTGTCTAGGCAGATTGTCAATGCGTATAAGTTGCTTTGATGTATTTTTGATGATTTATCTTTTGAACAAAGTTTTAGATTGTAAAAATTTGGATATTGATATTGTTAGTTTGATGAAAATGATTGAATTGTTGTTGGATAATAAAATTTATATAATATAAAGATTATACCATTTTGTAAACAAGCAGTTGCCAGATATTGGGAATTCAGAGGAAAAGATCAGATGCTGAGTCAACAGTCAATTGAAAAAATGTGGTGATTAAAAGTTATGATGTGGTACAGCATAAAATGATTTTGTCAAAGGAATATTCTGTTTCATTTTATGTTTCTTTTTGCAATGCAGGTACTATCACGGTGAAAAAAGGTGGAGGGACTCTGTCAGGAGAAGAAGATGGGGAAGGTAAATAATTCTTTCACTGACAGCTGAATTACTGTATTAGAATGTGCTGTACCTGGGTGTTCAGTTTAATCATGAGAGTTTATCTGGAACTTAAAGATCTTATTCCAGTTGCATCATGCACCCTTGGGATAATAAGATTTAAGTTCTTAAATTTGAAAATTATTTTTTAAAACGCCACCTGTAGCTGTACTTTTGATATTGTAATTAATAAGGTCTAAAATCTAACAAAGAGTATTTCATTTTCAGGAAGTGCAAGATACTGAGCAGTGGGCCCTGGGAAGAAGTGGAGCCACTTCCTCTTCAAGATATCTCCATTCAGATTGATTATGAAGAAGACAGTGGCCTTGCTGCTGCTGTGTGGGCAGTGGGGAGCAATGGGGATGTGATGTGCAGGCTAGGAGTAACCAAACAATGTCCACAAGTGAGTCTGATTTTGATATATATATTTTTTGTATCTGAATTATTTAGAAATATATAAGAAGAAAAGTGGCATAAGCATTTTGTCAGGCAAGCAGAAGATATAATTTCCCTGAGGGATAACTGTTTCCTCAAGAAAAAATACTCAAAAAAAATTAATAGTAATCAGGAGGAAAGCAAAGTTCACATGTTGATTTAATGTTGTTTATTATCACAGATATAACTTTTCAACAAAAGACATGCCTGCATACTTATTTCTTATGTAAATATGCATTCTTAACCTACTGCATTTGATAGGTAGCTTTTTATTTTTAACAGGGCATTTAATGACCTATTGTCTTGCCAATGATTGACAAATATGTGGCCATCACTCCATGTGGTCAAGGATTTTTTCAGCAGAGTACTCAAGGGAGACAGAACTGAATAATATGAACTGAATAAGATTATTTTTTCTGTTTCACAGGGCACCCATTGGCAGCATGTGCCCACTGATCAACCTTTCCAGTCTATCAGTGTGGGTGGCTGGTACAGAGTTTGGGCCATAGCAAAGGATAGTTCTATCTGGTTTAGAAATGGTGTATCTCCACAATGTCCTCTTGGTAGGTGTAGACAATTAAGACAAGTGCTACTTAATTTGTTGTTATGTTTATCTTTTTCAGGGCCTGCTATAATTTTTTAAGGCTAGTATTTCATTTGAGCACCACCACCCCCTCCGCTCTTTAAAAGAAGTTTGACCGTTCCCTCTCTGATATTAATAGATTTGAATGTTTAATAATACAGCCTTTTAGTTCTTTTGCTATTGTAATGTTTTAATTTGTTCCAGGCACACGTTGGTTCCATGTGACACCCCCACCTCACGGCTTCCGCATGCACCAAGTAGCAGCAGGAAAAACTGCAGTTTGGGCTGTGGATGATAAGTGTAGGTTTTGTTATGGATTGATTAACCCATATTTTTCGCCATTTTTGGTCTGACATTTTCAATGAAGCATTACGTATGTTATTTGAGATAGTGACTGTGGTATGGTTATAAGATGATGACGTCAATTATGGTGATAGATATGATAGTAACTTTTATACTTTGTCATTATTTCAAGTGTAAGAAATAAACAGTATCTACCAAGTCTCTGCAGAAAAGTTATCATGGTGTTACAGAAAAGACTTCTCTTCACTGAATGTGAATATCTTACAATTTAGATGGTCTTTGGTATCGTAAAGAAATTACTCCAACATATCCAGAGGGCCTGTGTTGGATTAGAGTATGTGGAAAAGTCAAACAGGTGTCAGTTGGGCCACAGGACCAGGTATGCTTTCCATATTACAGTATTGAACCAATGAGCTATATTTCTTTTTAGGGGTGAGGGCTAGCTTGACTGTTGCCTAATCTGTTAGTTTTTATATGGGCTTTTCTACTTGCAAAATGGGAATTAGTCAAAGTCTTGTTTACAGGTAGATCTTTGTATATATTTTCTCCCAGTAATGAGTGCAAAGGCCAACTCTTCAAAGTGAATGTCTTTTTTCTGAAAAAAAAAAAAAAGATGCATTCTCACTTCTGTAAACTCATGAACCTGTTACACACATATATGAGTAAATGTATTTCTGTGGTGTATATTTCTCTCTTGCATGTTTAGGTTTAACATTTTATGCTGTCATTTGATGAACATTTTATTTATTGCTTTTTCATTCTTCTCTGTTGCAGGTGTGGATAGTTGCCGATGTGATTGATACCCCCAGTGGTCCAGTGTACGGAGTTGTTGCTAAGAGGAAAGGCATTACAGCCGATCTTCCAGGAGGCAGTACTTGGGAACTAGGAATAGGGGTAACTATGGGGCCAATAGCCAGCTGAGCTAGAGGCAACAATGTAATCTAGATTGTCAAAGATTATGCTTTGTCAACATTAAATTCCTTGCCTTGTGTTAACAAAGACTCAGACTAGGTTCCCATGCCTAGATCTGGGAAGTCTCACTGAATTGCTATTAACTAACCCGCTGAAATGTCTGTCACACCTACTGAATCAACTAGGGGGTTAAGATAATTACAATAACAGCTATACTAGGCGTGACGGACATTTAAGCCAGTTACGTTGATAGCAATTTAGTGAGACTCCCCAGATCGATCCAAATATCTGTGGGAATGGTCCTTCAGAAACATGCTTTACCTCCATGATTTTGGTAGATGATAATGTCACCAACATTATATATATATATATGTTTTTCTTGGTGTTGGTTACCTTACAGAACTTCTGTTGGTGGTCATTGTTTTACAAGTTTTAAGGAAAAATGACAATATTTAATAGCTGACCAAAAAACATTTCTTACTTTCAAATTGGTTGCTATCAACCAATGCTTGGAGTTGTTTCTTCAAAAAAAGAAAAAAAAAAAGATGGTGATTTAATTAAGAAATTGTTCAATGGGCTTTTGCTTATGTAATGTGTTAAGAATTATAGATTCAAAATGGATTCAAAGACTGCCCAGAAAAACCAGCAGGCCCTTGACAGCAGCCACCATTCCCTGCCCACACTGCAGCAAATCCTTTCGAGTGCAGATTGACCTCACCAGCCATCTGCGCACACACAAAACACAAATCATTAACTCATAGGATGACTAGATGATCCTTGTTGATCCTGACGGATGAACCACAAAAGATGCAGTTGAAGTGCATTTCTAATGTAGTAGCTCATGATCATTTAATGTTATGTTTATTATTTGTAGGGAGGCTGGAGCACAGTCTGTATCCGTGGATGTGCTGAAGAAGAGAGGGAAGTTTCCACAGAAATTGGCACAGACATTGCCTCATTTCCAGAAATGATGACTAGAACTGACCAACAGGGTCACACTGTTGCTACATGAAAACCAATAGAAAAAACTTTTTAATAAAATAAACGTCAGGGCCCTGTATCTCGAAAGCATCGCGCATTTCGCCTGTGCGCAAGCAACTCGATTCCATAACTCGCCCATACTTGCCCCATATAAGACATTGTAGCCTCTATGTGATATTGCTATTTGCAATACGCGATGCTTTCGAGATACGGGGCCCAGGACCACAGGAAATTTAACAGAAGAAATGTTTTTTGAAAACATACAATACAAAGACTGCTTTCTTAAGCATGTTCTTGCAGTAGAAGACTGAATTTATTATTGTGCAAGATTTAATTTACTTTGTAAAATGATATTTTGATATTGTGTTATATCCAGAGGTCACAAATAGCATTCCCAAAGTAAAAACTTTTTTATTCTTTTTGTCTGAATTATGTTTTATGTCCCTGTAATGTTTGCTCAATCTAGATCACTGTACATGAGTCTTCTTTTGTTGTTATTGTGCAATACTGTATATAATTTTAGCAAATTATTAAGAAAACTATTACTGGACAAAAAGGTGAATGAAACACAATGCAAATACAATACAATCAACTTTTTTCTGTGATCCAAAAAAAAAAAGTGTACATTGTATGTTAGATATTATTTATGGTTATTTTTAATAAGTTCTAAAAGTATTGATAGAGGACTTAAGTATTGGGATAAAAATGCAAGAGCCAAACAGTGACATCGAATGCCAAGCACCAATTTTACTAGTGTTCTGTACTAAATGATTGGCCATGTAATCAACAAGCATTGGTGTCTTCTATTTATGATTACATTTTTTCTTATCATTTTGCTCATTATTACAGCATTATTACCAGGTTTTAGGAAAAGGAATAGTTAATAAATATTGCAATGTGAAATGATTTGTGTCTGCATTTGGAAGTCCTTTCATTGTAAATGCAGAGAAACGGCCAGTATAATGGAAGTATGTAATCACATTCCACATCTCTTTGAACCTTCTTTCTTGGTGCAACTTGAGCTAATTTTTCTGCACCCTTCTCTTTCATCCACTGCAGGTTAACTTTGCAATTTTTTAGCTATGAAAAAAAGAATACAAAATTCAGAAAAAGGGCAGCAATTTTGTTACCACCAAAATTTAAATGGTGATCAGTATGATCCACTGATTCATGAAATAACTAAGCAAAGTATGAAAGTGTCACTGGTGAAGAGAAGTGAAGAGAACTTGAAATTGACTGTATGTGTGTATGAATAGTCATTTATTTTCAATGTTAGATAAATAACAGAATACAATAAAAATGTATAATAAACCAACAAGGATACTTTTAAAGTTCTTTCAAAAACAAATACTTATAAATATCAAAATTAGCTTTAATCTGATAAAAAATATGTGCCCCATTTCATACTGCATCTTGGTGTTCCAGACATCATACCCCAAAATGCTGCTACTTCAAAATATAAGTAATCTATTGAAAATGTACAATAATACAGTTATAATCCTTTTCACAAAATAAGAACATTTTGTTAGTAAGTGAAGTCTTCATCCCCTTTGCATGAATATTTTTTATATTAGATTACAATCGCAAATTTACGATTGTTGGTTACTGTAAATACAAGATAAAATATCCATTCGGTCAAGAATGTATCCTTGACAAGAATCTTTGTTACAACTTTCACATTGATCTTTTTAAATGTGTTATATGTTAAAAAAAAATAATGTTAAATGCATCACGAGACCTTCATATGAGATATATTTTATTAATCATAATTATTATAATAACATAATAAAAAGTTGAGCATTTTTTTTTTAGTCAAAGTAGACGTATATTGCAGTTTTGAATGAAAAAAAAATCATTATGACCATATACAGTCGCATATGTGAATTTCTACTTTTCAAGATACCTGGTCCAGGATACTAAAACCGAATATGTGGCATTTTTGAAAATAACCTGATATAGTAGGCTATTTTACCTAGATGCAATATGGACTTTGATAGGGGGATCTGCCACCATAACAACCTTAGTCTTTCGCTTAAACACCATATTTGGCACGGTTGTAATTTTGAAGTCTCTGAGCAACATGGCAAGTACAAGCCTCATCTCCAGCATGGCAAATTTGTGTCCCAGGCACATGTGTGGCCCAGTGATGAAAGGCAGGAAGGTAAAAGGCCTCACCGCTTCTGGATCTTGGAATCTCTCAGGCATAAATTTCTCCGGTTCTGGCCAGTATCTTGCATTTCTATAACAACGCATTACATTTCAATGAGCATCAACAGTCACATAAATCACATCTTATATACATGCAGACCAATTCACATCGATGATATTATATCCTTAGTCCAGCTACTGTCACATGGTTTCCTCGCATTCAAATATTCCTTGTGATTTACGTTCTTACAAAATAGCACTTTTATCTACTTGATACAGCAGGGCCAATACATCTCATAAAACAGTAACAATGTGCATTATTTTGTTAATACAGAAAGCTAGCCTACCTCATAAGAGCCCCTACGTGATAGGTGACTGTGGTTCCAGCAGGAATGAGATATTCACCAATTTTGTCATCATTAACTGCCTTCCTGTTGGCACTAGGTACTGTGGGATACAATCTGGAATAAGGGATTTTGAATTAACGATAAAGAACATGCCACACTTTTTAAAATTTTTTCAAACACTCAAAATATGAGTTACCCAGAGCACAAATACCCAAGGCTTTTGGTGGACTTATTTAGAAATGTGTATATTGCATGCACCAATCTAATTTAAACTTCCATTGTATGCAAGTACATATATTTTTTAATGGCCGTTACTTAGTGTTCTGATTCAGATGCACACACAAAAAAATCCCTTAATCTAAACAATCCTCACCTGAGAGTTTCTTTTATAATGCAATTGATATATTGTAATCTATCAACATATTCCCAGGTTATTTTCTCCTCCTTTGGTGGAAGCACCTGCACAGCTTCTTTGTAAGCTCTTTCTTGAATGTCTTCATGTTTTGCAATCATGTACAGTGCCCAAGACATGGCTTTTGCTGTTGTCTGAAACGTACAGTAAGGTTTCACCTATTAGCCAAACAAATAGCAATAGGACACAAAGGAAGAAAAGAATAATTTTTATCTAGTTGTTTTGATCGTAACTTTTATTCCACATGGATAACATTATAAGTAATTACTGAATATTTTCAATTTTAATGCTTTCTCTACATAACTAAATAGATTAATTTTACTTATTACAAAACGACCCTACCTCATGTCCTGCAATAAGGAAACTTATAATATGGTCATGAAGTTCCCTCTCAGAAAAAGTCTGTCCCGTCTCTGGGTCATGGGCTTTAAGCAGCAATGCCAGGATATCATCAGTTGGGTTGTCAGCTGAAATGGCAAATTAAACAAATGTTAGCTGTTATATTTCCCTCCACTTGCTTAAAGGAAACTCAATTTGGTCGGAGAAATCTAAACTAGTAATTTGTTTCCTTCCAAGCTATCACTGTTTTAACTAAAAAAAAGTTAATCATTTTGGTGATCAAACATGAATAAATAAGCCAAAACAGAAAAAGTTATGTTCAATATATATTGTAATTATTTTCTATTTAATTTCTCATTTTCCATCATAATACATTTACAGAGAAAGTGCACTTGTTGATCTGACTAAACAATAAATAAAATGTCACTTGATGTGTAAAAATTTAAGCACATATATAAATGAAATATTTTTCTAATTTTAGGGAATCACTTCTAAACCCCTATACATAGTTGGCAGCTAGAATTTATTAATTTCAAAATCATTACCAGAACTTACAATCAGTATTTCTTTGTCTTTCACTTATGATATTATTCACCAAGTCATCAGCCACTTTTACCATTTTCTCATATGTTTTGTTGTATGCAGTCGGTATCCTATTTAAAATAGGTATTGTGTTCTGGAAGCTACAAAACAAATAAAATAGCTTTTGTCTTCATTTTATCAAGCGGTGTAGACAACATGGGACACTGAAGAAATTCATAAAAAGACCTTAATCTTTAAAATACAGCAGTAAATAGGATATATCACATGTCCAATATTAATAACAAAAAGGTGACAACAAGGGTCAATAGCTTTTGCCCAGTTATAACAAAATTGTGACAATGAAGAGAAGACTACGGGAATTGGGAAACAATATGATAAAGTTCTATCTTGCAAATTTGATCTTAGGTCACTTCATTTCAATGTTTTAATATTAGTAAGTTTTTTTTTCTTAAACAATGGCAATGAAAATTAGGTCAAGGCAAGTTGGTCAAGGAGACAATTTTGCCACCATATCCAATGGCTTTGTAAAAACTTTGTGTTCTGTTAGGTGGTTCTAACCCACCCTCTTTTCATGGCATCATGCTAAAAATATTATGAAATACTCATTCAGGGAACCAGAGACATTCAAAAGACCTAAAACCAAGCAATCTTTTAAACATCTTTTAACCAGTGCCAATTACAAGTTCCAAAATTGACTGATAGACTTGCATTTTAGTTATTTTATTCTAAACTTGTTCATGTCTTTTGATATTCCTCTATTCTTATTCATTAGTGATTTTATTCAATTATGATGCTAAGAATGTATTTATATGTTGCAAATTTGATAATAATAATAATAATAATAATAATAATAATAATAATAATAATAAAGAAACATGAAAGGCATCTAATCCTTAGATGTTACACAAGAGGATCCAAGCTTAAATCATCAGTTTCCATTTTTGTAACTGTTTATTCTCTTAATCATCGAACTTTTTACCTGACTGATGGAACGGAGGTAACAAATCCCAATGCTTTCACATTTTCATTATCTGGGTCTGAGATGCTGTTGAGGTTATAACTAAATGCACACTGGCTGACGACATCTAAAGCCTTACGAATAAAAGGGAAAAAAGAGATTTTTAGATAACATGCATGAAAGAACTGGCATATGCACACATTGCATAAACAAATACAATCAGTAACTCATACCCACACACAAACACATACAAATTTACAAATTAACATAAAGAACATATATACTCATTCATACACACAAACATGCAGGCTGCTGAAGATGCTGGGGAAATTTATTAAAAACATTTTTGTACAAAACCCTACTTTTAAGTTACATTAAAATTAAAATGTCCCTTTCAACTACACTTCAACCAGACATTTTTCCTCTGTTTAACTCACATACCATATTGGTCAAATCAAGTTGTGCATCCACCACACAACCCTCACAATGGCTCTTAAGCTGTTGTGTCCACTTGTCGATCACCTGCTGACATTTGGTTTGAAAAACTGGGACCATGTCTGTAATATCCAATAATAATAATAATTGTTGGTATTTTTAATGGCAAATGCACAGGCAATAGACAAATGTACATGGCAGGCAAACAAAGGTAATTCATAAATGTACATGCTGACAGACTAAGTTGATGCACATAAGGACACACCAAGATAATGCAGACATGCACAACAGATGATTACTGTACAAATGTGCAAGTGACATAGCTATGTGTGCATGCATAAAATGTGTGTTGTTCTACACGCATATGTCTTTGTAATCTTCCCATACAGACAAATTTCAAGTATATAGGAACACTTATTTTCTATGAGAAAAGCGTTATCTTGAATATCACTTCCAGGTTTATGGAGAAATACTGTATTTGTTATTTTTTTGAAACCACTTTTTATATATATTTTGGTTTTCCAATATACTGTGGAATGTCCTATTAACTTGTGTTTATTGGAACACAATTTGAAACATCTCTGTCTTAAAACCTTTTTTATTGTACCCATACAAAATGAAAAAAAATATACTTGAGACAAAATAGTTCAAAAATAAAAATAATCATGAATGTCCTTTATACACTTACTAAGAACAGCCTCTCCAAACAAAGCATGATGGAAAATCTTCCTTTGTTGTCTATGATAGTCTCCATCAACTGCCAAAATACCTTGTCCCACAAGTCTGCTTACAGTCCTAAAGTTAAATGGAAACTAGCTTATTCCATTAGAACCTGAATGAAATTTAAAGACAATAACCCATCTCTTATAATGCCACTCACAACTATCATGGTCTAAGGTATCTAGGGCTCTGTGTCATGTCTTGCAATCTTGCTTGCAGAATGCAATCTTGCTTGCAGTTACTTAAATGTTCGTTATATCTCCTGTGTTATAGTTCACAAGTACTTGCTCTATTAAGAAATGTTAGTTTTATGTTTCTTGTTTGTGTCTAAACTGAAAGGGAAAGTAGCATAATAGATTACATCTTTATTGCTCCCTCTTAATAGCATATTGACTTACGATGTTCCTGCAAATGTCCTCACATAATTTTTAGCATTTGTCACAAGCATTCTCTTCAAGCCTTCAGGACAAGCAATCAAGATGCGTTCCCTTCCCAGCAGATGGTAATACCTCACTATGTCACCATATTTTTTCACCCATCTGAAGTGTGAACACAGAATGACATAAATATTCATAAATCTTCAATTATATCCTGATGTATTTGAGATTCAATGATTTTCAATCAGATAATATAAATTAAAAAAAAAAAAAAACTCTTACAAACTACCTAAAGAAGTTTTCTTTTTCTTACATACATAATCAGGTAATTTTCTTGACCATACACTATCCTTGATTACAATTTACAACTGAGCGGGATTTAATTTATGCAATTATGTGGAGGGTTTAATCTGCAATATCATGCTAACAGACAGCCTAATTGGTCTTTTAGTTATATCACTTATACCTCTACCTTTCAAAGTCTTGAGGAACCTCTACACAATGTTTACATTCTTACTTTGTTGATGTCTCCATAGCTTCACCTTGCATTGCTTCTCTAACATTGCCATATATTGGGTTGTGATACCCTGGACCAGGTATCTTGAAAAGAAAAACTTCTTAAATGTACATGACTATATACAGTCAACATTTTTTTCATTCGAAACTGCAATATATGTCTATTTTACTGATTTTAAAAAAAAAAAAACAATATAAATTATGCATGAGGAGACTTAAGTTGACTACTGTGTACTTTAACTACCTGAAAAAAAAAATATATATATAAAATGCATGAGGAGACTTTACCTAAAATCTTTTGACTACAGACTACAATCTGACAGTTTCAAACTTACCCTTCTGAGAGGAGAAAGAAATGGCTTGATCAAAACTTTATAAATGAAGTATGTTATCCAAAGCAGGAAGCAATAAGTCAAAATAGAAGACAAGTTGCTTCCACTCTGCACCAAAGTATCCATGTTACTGGAACCGTAAAAAGATCATTGGCATAAAAAACTGCTGTACAAATTTCTGGAAAAAATATACTACTTTCTAAAAAAAATGATAATCATCTAAACTGGTTTGAACTTTTAATTAAAATTAGAAGATATGGGTGCAACAAACTACTGTACAAAGTGAACAAGATATCAGAGAAAGGAATGTAACTCTGAAATGCCCATCTGTAGTGAGACTGAAGTTTCAGAAGTAAACTATGACATTGTTAATTGATGAAGAAATATAGACAAGTACAAAAAATGCACAGCAACAACTGGTGTCCACTGGTAAGAGTACTAGTAAAGTACTTTTTGCAAATATCATTGACATTCTGCTAACATTGTGAAATACAGGACCATTATTAATGTAAAAGGTGACACCATCTAGACTGCAAGTTAATAATATAACAAAGGCACCTTCGCTAAGTTAATTTCTTATGGTCAGCCAACTTCTACACCCTACTGACCTTAGGTAGAACGGATATGAGTCTCAATTTGGCAAGCGACAAGGTTCATCAAAAATACTTTCTTTTGATTGGATAAACACCGATGCAAAGAAAATTAACCAATCAGCAGCGCAAGTTGCTGCCTTTAGCTAGGCGAGCTGTAAGATGGCAGTCAGTATAAATACAGAGCGCGAAGGGAGAGGACAGGAGTCAGTCTTTATTGAAACGCGTCGTGTTTATCGTACAGTTTTGCATTTCAAACCATTACACTCCTTTCAAAATGGGGAGGGATGCCCTTTGAAGCAATCCCGGGAGCATCTAAACACTCTTTTACCTGCTTGCCTACTACCGACCAGAAAAGTTTCTTCTTGGAGTTGAGTTATATCGTCTTGCCAAAGTTTTTTTTTTCAGCAGACGTGTTGCCCTTGAAGATCCGGAAATCAAAGCAAATGAAATGACTACTAGGTAAGAAGTTTGAAAGACGAAAAAGACGCTTGAGGATTACACAAAAAGGTGTAAAGTGGTACGAATTCTTAGTTGTTTCTTATGTAATTTAGATACAAAAGCTGGTTTGTTGTCAAACTTGAACGTCAAAGCGGCCACAACTGTGGTCAAGGCCGTTTAGTTTGCTGAAAGTGTATGAAAGATATTTAACAGCTGGACTAGTCAAAGTATAGTTATTTATTTTGTATGTATATATGTTTATACATGATGTGTGTAGAGAGGAAGATGGTGTTTGTCATTACAAAAAATCTTATTGATGTATTTATTTTTGTGATTAATGAAAAGTTGTATGGCAATTGTAGCAAAAAGAAAAAATGAAAAAAATGTGGTGATGCTCACATATGTTATTGGAAGAAAACTGCCCCTGGACAAGCTTGGCCACTCTTTGTTGACCAGAATTGGTCTGATACTCCCCCCCCCCCCCCAGATAGGGGTCATGCCTTTTTGTCCCTGCATCGTTACTCCCACCACCACCGCCACTCTACCACTCTTCCTGCCTCTTATTGGGATAAAAATTTTGGTTAACTGTAAGTTTTTAAATCTGGTATTATGTTTTATATGTTGCATTTTTAATGAAGTGGAAACACAGAGTGGTAACCCCAGATAGTCCATATATGCAGTTGTGTCTTCTTTTATGGTTGAAATATCAGTTTGAAACTATCTGCGATTTTCTTGCCAAATCAAGTTTTCCTTGAAATGGAAAAAGCATTCTCCTATTCATGATTGATCAAACTTGACCACAAGTCTAATTGCTGATCAGTCACTTAATACACTGTTAAGTCTTTCTGAACATTTCAACAGAAAAAAGTGACATCAATTTTTTTTTGAGGGGCTTTAATTTTTTAAGGTACAAATTGGGAAAATAGGTAACTTTGCAGTATATGTATATAAATTATGACTTGGGCATTTCCATATGTGAAAAGTATACCTTTGATTTTTTTTTTTTTTTTTTTTTTTTACAAAGCTTTGATGATAAAAAAATTAGAAGCTGTTTTTATTAGTATTTCATACTTAAAAGGATTATCAAACATCCTTACCTATCATAGATACTTTGAATCAAAGGATTTCAAGGGGGATCAATTACTTCTGTTAGAACTATAGATTTTTTTTCCTAAATGCTGTTTTACAAAGTAAAATAAGTGGGCAAATTGATGCTTTTATCTTTCTAGGGTTTCATTAGTAAGGTATGAAAACCCCATAAGAATATAGTCTTTGGTAGACCTGCTTCAAATATTATACATGAAATAGGTGTATTAAAGTGATCCAAGCCAGTATTTTGAACACATTCTAAGAGGGCATTCAGAGTAGTAGATCCCAGTATCAACTGGTCCAAGGCTCAAATATAGCGGACCCTACATGAAATCTTGTAATGGTCTCTCCGCCTCTCACATGCCTCCCCATGCATTTGGTCGAATGGAGTCGAGATTTAATTACTTTGCCCCTGCAGGGACGATGCATACATGTAGTGTTTCATAAACTTGTTGCATAAATTAAGTGCTGTTTGTCGATACATAGCCCGTAGTATAGTAAAATTTCACAGGTGTGTCGGCTATAACATGTCAAAAATGAAACCTGTCATAACTTTTAAGCATGTGTCGTCATCTTAATGATATATACATACCTGGGTTGAGGTAATGCCTCTCTGTTCCTCTAGTTATTTCATATATTTATTTTCAAAATATTTTTTTTCTGGAAATGCCATTCTGAATTGCCTTTTGATGAAATGTTGATCACAGTATGTACTTCCTGGGGTAGCGCTTGCAATTTTTTTCGCTTAGCCATATCACCACACTTTTGTCAATTTGTTATTAAAATGGCTATAATTTGGCTAAAACATGTTAAATCTAGCCCTTTTTCTTTAGCCAATTTAAGTCAGTGTTAGCATTTAGCTAAATTGGCGAGTGTTAGCGCTACCCCAGACTTCATTACTGAATTATTTTTTGAAGATTTTTTTTGACTCTGCCAGATTTTATGCAATAAAATGACTTTTATAAATACAGATATTTCATTCCTATGATATAGTCACAGTTTGACAGCTGTTGCATGAAAAAGATGCAATCAAGACTTATGATGCTCTAAGAATTCGTGACTTAACATTGATTTTTTTTTTCTGTTTGAAAATCTAGACTTGACCGACTGTTTCTTCTGCTGGACACTGGTTCCACTCCATTAGTCCGGAAATCTGCAGCCGAGCAACTTGGGGAAGTACAGAGACTCCATCCACATGAACTGCAAAACTTGTTGACTAAGGTTAGCACCAGCTGATAATACCAGTTGAAGAAATAGCTTGTTTAAAAGGAACAGTGTTGGGAATTGTTCTTGTTTTAAATCATTAAAAAAAAAAAAAACGAATGCATGTCTGTGGTAGTGCTAGCAAATTTTTTTGCTTAGCCAAATCACTACTTTTTCATCATTTTTTCCTCCAAATGTTTTGAATTTGACAAAAACAAATCAAATCAACCCAATTTTGTTTAGCCAATTTAAGTCAGTTTTAGCATTTGGCTAAATTGGCAAGTGTTAGTGCTACCCCAGCATGTTAATATCCACTGTGTGAGTTTAAAAACATATTTCTAGTTTATTTTTAAAATTGGAATACAAAAGGGTGATAGCTGCAGACTTAAATACTAGAAATGTGTTGAGGGCCCCCAGGGAAATTTACAGTGCTTACAATTGTTGAACACTAAAATCCTATACAGCCTCCTCAATCAAGATGTTTTTTTTTTCTTGATTAGAATGATCCTAGTTTGGAACTTGCTTTTTATTTTCTCTAGTCTAAAAATAGTTTATCCTACCAGCAGCCACATGTGAGTCCAACCAATTAAAGTATGCTTAAAATACGGGTGGAAAATACAATTAATTTCCGTATGGCTTAAAGTACACATTTTTAGATGTTCAGACAAGAAAGTCTAGTTTTTATTACATTTTTGCCACAGGTGCACATGTACTTGCGCAGCCCAACATGGGAAACCCGTATTGCCTCTGGTCAAGCAGTAGAGGCTATTGCAAAGAATGTGCCACAGTGGGAACCAGTTGGACTAGTGAAAAAAGGTGACTAGAGCTTGGGAGGTTGATTGAAATGTGTCATTTCAATTATGTCCATCAAAACCGTACAGACAGTTGTAGTCCAAGAGATTGATCTGATCATATATTGGTGTATATATGTATTGGATTATGTGAGGGTCTGTGTGTGTACTGTACACACTTTGTAATGAAATATTATTTTACAGATGATGGTTATTGGAAAAATATATCAATATATATACAGTCAGTTATATGCATCTGGGTTAATTCTTTTTAATATGTGATACTAGCCTGCTATGTTAAAATTTTAGTCAGTAATTTGACTGAGTAAAACAGAACTTTTTTTTGTCTCTCAAACCAAAATATCTTTTGGAGCATTGATGAAAATAGCATAAATATCGGCATGCATCAGACATGCTGTTGTTTATTATGTAGGAATAGATTTATCAAATGTGACAGTTTAGAAATGAAAATGTGTATACAAAATTGATTTGCAAAAATCTTTTCATGTTAGGAATAAATATGTTAGACACCTTAACATATGCTCTAAGTCAGTTGCTTGGGAGCATCTGGAAACATTTTTGGTCTTAACGGATATTAAGTCAGATAGTGTTAATGTCAAGGAAATTTACTTTTACCTTGGAGACCAATCACTTTGGTTTCTGTCATATTGTGTTGTAAATTTGATTTGCATTTTTTTTTTTTTTTTTGCTTGCAGAGGAAAGCTCTCCAATACCTATTTCGGGAAAACTGCCTCTGTCCCAATTTGATATTGGTAAAGTGCTTGAGAATGGAACCTCTCTGCTGGGATCAGAAGGAAAAGAATTCGAAGAAGAGTGCCAGCCAGGTGGGTGGGTTGCTATATTGTAGATGTTAGATATGAATGTGTTCTTTTTTTTTCTATTTTTGTCTTTATTGAATGTGTCAAGTGACAAGTAATTAAGTTGAGCCTTATTTGATGGCTTTGAGATTAGATGCAATATTTTTACTCTCTTATTTTCTTACTAACTTTAAGGGATAATAACTCTTCGTATGAGATCTATATTTCACAATAAAAACATTGTGAGCAACTCATAGAAACATAATTTATTCTGTTGTACAACAAAAACAGCAGTTATAGCTATTATTCTGATATCTGAGCTTGTCTTTAGACCTGACATCCACTGATGGCTATACTCTGTTATAATCTCTTAAGAGATTATAACAAAAAAACAAACAAAGTTTTTAGCAAAAAATAACTTTAAGGGACTAACTTTGAATGTAAAAATGGATTCATTATCCATTGGTAAGTATGGGAAATTGTTGTTTACTCCACGAAAATTTATTTTTTGGCCAAAACGAAGAGTTATTATCCCTTTAAAGATGCATTTGAATTCAGCTTTTGGCCACGTTTTTATAAACTAACCATGTAGTTTCAATTAGTGTAAAGAGAAATGCTAAAGGACATCATTTTATCTTGCCTGAAAAATGGATTTTTCTGCTTGCTTGCTGTGCTGTATATAAGTGGGTAGATAAGTAGATAAAATTTACGACCAAAAATTTGAAGAAGGATCAGTTTTAAACTCTTTTTATAGCTGATCAAGTTATTAATTCAGTTTATTCCTTGGCATGTGGACCTTATTTGAGCCGTATAAGAAGCTAGTAGAAGTGGTTTATATGGTTTACTGGGAATTCACGCTCCATCAACACTCAGTGCAAATGTACCTTTAATATGAGGTGTACATTTCACTGTGCTCACTGGTTTATACAGAGGAATTTATTGGGTTACATATCTAAAGTTTCTCAGAAGAACTATTTTTGATATCATGGTTTCAGGTTATTGGGTGTCAGATTTGGTATATGGCATTTTAATGGTAGCAATTGCAATAAACATAGCAAGTCAATTTTCTTGCTGTAAAATAAAAATCTAAATATATTAATATTAATTTTGACTATCTGAACATTTTAAAATTAAATGAATGACAGATTACCTCTGACAAGAAGGTTACGTTTTTGGTCCTGTATGTGTCTGTTCACATCATTAGGCAAAAAGAAAGGGTCTGATTTTGATGAAAATGGATAGGTCACAAGTGGGCCAAAGAAAAATTGATTAGATTTTTGGGGTAATACAGATTAAAATTGAAACCGAAATTGCATCAAAGCTGCACAAGTAATTATAATATTATGTCTTACCCCATTTTAAAGGTACATGTCACAGACATTATTTGCGAGCTGTGACCTAACCTCTTGCATCAGTGCGTCACACGGGACCACACTGTGTCAAAGCTAGGCAAGTTACGTCACATGTTATAGAGAGGCAAGTTGTACTAATTACACCCTGATGTCACGCACGCACTGGATCACAACTGAAGTTTCTTTAAAAAAAGAATATATATATATATATATATATATATATATATATATATATATATATATATATATATATATATATATATATATCTTTTTTTTTTAATGGTTTCTAACAAGATTTCCCAAGAAAAGCCTTAAAGGCTCTGCGTCCGATGTCTGTGTATAACACTCAGGTGACAGTGTATTATATGAGACATAACTTGCCTTTATCAACTATGCTTTGACTAATAATTTAACAATGAGAATTCAGTTTCCTTGTCAGAGGTCTCTGGGTGCATTTCCAGTTATTATTACTCTTTTTAACACCTGTTTCACTATCTTTACATAATACCTTCTGATGCTTAAATCTGTTACCTAGATATGCGGATTTTTTTAAAAAGAGAGAAAAAGAAAATGTTGGAAAAGTACTATATTCTTGTAAGCAGACTTAAACAGTATTTATCACAGCATGATATGTGGCCTGACACTTCTTTTCATCGATCAGAACCATATTTCACCAGAAAACACCAACATTATGCATTAGTCTTCAATTTGGGCCTTAAGCACTGTCTTTGGGGAAAGTTATCTCCTTGTGACAGATTGGCATTTAATGCGATAGTGTGATTGGAAAAAGACGGTTCTTAATATCCCAGATAGAGAAATATGTAGGAAACCAAGCATGTGGTAGTGCTGTGAGTGTCATTAAAATGAAAAGTGAGAAGTTGGCTGCAATTTTTTCACAGTTAGATAGTTATGTCTTGTGCTTGATTACATGATTTTTGTAAGTCGTTACAAAAGACAGCAGCTTCATTTCAAAAGACTTGATATCAATCTGACAATTATAGTTTCCAATAGGTCTTTATTTTTAGCACTAATGCCCTGCCTGATCAGAGATATTGCAAGATGCATCTTGAGTGTGGAAATTTCCAGATATCTTTTTAATAAGAAAGAGCTGTTATGCAAAGGGCAATAGTAAAATTTAGTTTGTTCATCCATATCAGTACACATATAGTAGGGTATCTGCTGTCCTTCATGGCATGCGCTTTAAGATGATACATTCCAACAGCCTCTCAAGATGTATGACAGCATATTATTGCCAGAAGCTTATTAAGAATTCATTTTTGATATCATCCCCTATATTTTCTGTTAAAATTTTCATCTGCAGACGTTGCGGGGCAGTCGACCCATCTTGGTCTTAGCAGAAAGAAAAGCATAATCATCATCTCCCATAAATGTTTTGAATTATAGATAATGAGAGATTTCAAATTATAATGTTGATGTAATCATTGTGTTTCGTGTTTTTCTGAATCAATACAAGCTCTAGTAGTATCTAATATAGTCCTGTACCATTATGGAAATGGCCTCTCTGGTGGTGACTGGGATGCTTTTGGTACTGCTGGTTCTTGCCCGACCTTTACACATTCATTACAACATTAATCTCTCAATAATTGTCAATTTTTTCCCCTTCTCTCCCTTTTCCCCCTTTCCCCCTCTTTCTTACCCTTTTGCCCCCATGAGGCAGTCCACTTTTTCGTGCCGGAGAGGGTATTAATCAGAATATAACCCTGTACACACCTCCAAATGTGATGCACCATACAATTTTGTAAACCTCTAGCCTTTCCATCTTATCACTATTATGAGGGACTAATTCCTTGCTCTATGCAGTCTGCCCTGACCATTTTGGTTTCTTGTATATTGTTGTAGTAGTGGCATTCACGTAAAGTGAAATAGCATATATTTCAAAAAGAATTTCTGCTGTTCCAGGTTTGGACCAGAAAGAAAAGTTAACATTACAGAGGCAGAAGCTGAACAAGCGGCTAGGTTTGGACATAGCAGGTGGTATGGGAATGGAGACAGACTTGTTCTCTGATGAAGACCTCATGATGAAGCAAGAAAACAGGCAACAGGGGACAAAGCAGGAATCATCACAAGTAATCATCAATGTTTTATTTTATTTTATTTCCTTTTTTGTGGGTCTTTGAGTATGTTTTTAGATATATATCAAAGATTAATTGTAGGCACATATGCATACACACATTTAAAACAACACTTGACGTGGTAATACAAACACTAGTTAGAAAATTATGGTTTGTTTCATAACCAAATAATTTATATTAACATGATGAAGATGTGGTTTTGGTGATTAAATTCTTTCAAAAGCCTTGGTATAATATTTGTTTTTATAAGTAATTAAAGTATAACTTAGAATGTCAATCTGTATGATTTTTATTATAAAAATAGACCACTGATTATTGGCAGCATCATACTGCGATTATATAACAGAAACATCATTGGTATTTATATAATGTACCTCAATTATTTATTGTAATTTCACACTGCTTTTGATTTTTATTAAAGGAAGCTGTGGCTGAAGTAGTTCAACAGTTGATGGTGTTCAGCAATCCACAGATGAGTGCCAGAGAAAAGAACAGGGCTAAGAGGAAAGCTAAGCAGCTAGCCAAGCAAAGATCAAAGGATGTGTCTGAGACCCCACAAAGCAATGGGTGAGGACATCTTCATATTATTCTGGGTTCATTTTAACAGAAAGAAAAAAGAGAATGAAAGCATAACTGATCAAATTTTCAGCCATATTAGTTTTTCTTAAATATTACAATAAATAACAATGATGTACATTTGTGGACAACTATTTTGTATAGTCTCTGTCATAAATCTCACTGGACTATTTTTTGCTCACATTGTTTCATGCTGTATATAATCAGTTATAACAAAGCACTAAGTCATAATCAAATTGTGAAAAATAGTTTTGCATTTTTTTGCCTTATTAAATCTCTGAAATGAGGTAAATAAATGTCAATAAATAAATGTCAATTGTTGTAGAGCTGAGGATGGAGAACCCTCTAATAAAATGAGGAAGACATTAGTGATGGACGAAGGCAAACCAGCAGCTGATTCAAAACCTGATAATACCATGGACTTTGATGAGGTTTGTACAGAGAATGAAATTACATAGAACAATAGATGCATTTGGAAAAATACATTCAATTAAGACAATGTTTTACCTCCAAGGGACATTACATAAGATTACAAAAATGCAAAATGCAGAGCCATATTTTGAAGTGTAAGCAACATAGGTGTAGTGATGTATTCATTACCATAATACATTGTCTGATCAATTTTCTTGCTTTAGAATGAAGAGTGGCCATTTGAGTCCTTCTGTGAGCTCCTGTTGGGTGACCTGTTCAGCACGTCTTGGGAGGTGAGGCATGGTGCTGCCACTGGACTGAGGGAGGTGATCAAGCTGCATGGGAAGGGGGCTGGCAAGATGGTGGACATATCAGCAGACCAGGTAAAACTTCATCTTTTGTTATGTTTAGACATGGGAAGCATGTAGTGTACAACGCCAGCAGTGGTTTAAGAGAGGTTATTAAATCATTATAAGTTGGCTAGAACATTGACTATTTCTGGGTTTTCATGTTAATATTTCATTTGTAATATTAGTGAGCTCAGGTGTTCACTTCAACTGTATTATTAGCGTTCAGACTTTTGTGGTAACATTCCATTTGTGTTATGCAATTTCTATGATAAGATTCAATTGAGCATGCAGGGCCCTAGTAGAGACAGATACGTATAAAAAATTGCCTTGAATAGATAATGTACTTGAGGAAATATAATACAAACAGATGGCAAAATTATTAATAACAATGATGATATGCAATAAAACACTTTGGTTAGTTTGTTGTTTGATTTTCAAGGCTTCTAGATAGTTTTGGGCAAAATTTGACAATTTAACAAAAAAAGAATTTTCATTACCAACAGAGATAAACATTCACATAACAACACTGACAGTTGGTACAGTATCCTGGTGAAGTTTATCTGTGGAATATAGATATGACATCAGAGCTCATGCCATGCTGTAGTGAGTGCTCAGTATGTGATTCTTTATTTGTTTCCCCATCTAACTTGCTAACATACTTTCAGATGAGTACAGCCAACCAGTTGTGGCTAGAAGATGTTGCCCTGAGGTTGCTCTGTGTTATGGCACTGGACAGATTTGGGGATTTTGTGTCAGATGAGGTATATGGAAAACATAGTTGTCTTTTATGTTGTAAACTATGCTTGTTTATTTTGGATACGTATGTTGGGTAATTTTTTTATCCTTCAAGATTATTATTTTATTTGAAAGTCATATCTTAGTACTGTAATTATTTTGTTTTAAGACATTGAAATTAAGATAAAATAGGACCATGAAATTAAAAAAAAAAAACGATTGTGTTATGGTCTTGAACATAAAGCACAGAATTGCTCTATTTGTAGGCAGCATAATCATGTTGATAAAAGATTGCAAAAAGCCAGTTTTCTCCAAATAAAAACTTGTGTGTACAGCATTAATGTGGTTGTTACTAAAAATGCTTTCATTTAAACACACATGCCATTATTGATGTACAATTCTTGTAGGTTGTGGCTCCAGTCCGCGAGACCTGTGCACAAACACTGGGGACCACACTTCACTATATGGAAGTGGAGAGTGTCCAGGGGGTCCTGCATATTCTAATGCAGCTGCTAGGACAAAGGCAGTGGGAAGTTCGTCACGGGGGACTGCTGGGGCTCAAGTACTTACTAGCAGTTAGGCAGGTACGAGGGGTATTTTTCCTGTGTTTGGGAATGTGTTTAAATTTATTACTTATGAATTTCCAGTATGTATTTGTAATTTTGTGATAAATTGAATGTGGATGTATCATTAACGAATTTTGACTGTTACTTATAAAATGACATGCCAAAAAATTGATAGTGGGTATGTAAATCAGTGAAGGACTACCGCTTAAAGGTAATCAAGTTTTCACGCAAGCAATACAACATCAAAGTTCTTTTTTACCGAGGATTATGTAGTAACATTTTTAGTAAAGCACTAAACTAATTTTCCCAGGATATGACAGGCAAGCTTCTGCCGCTGGTGTTACCTGTGATAATGAATGGACTGCAGGACTCTGTAGATGATGTGTGCTCAGTGGCTGCAGCCTCCCTCATCCCTGTGGCTGATACTTTGGTCAAAGTGCTGCCTCGCCAGGTAGGCCATCTTTTGAATAGCAGTTGGCAAGAACTTGCTCTTTGAGCAATTTTATATTATGATTGTTGTTGTTATTATAATATTTAATTTACATTCTAGGTCCCAACTATTATCAGTTGTTTGTGGGACACTTTGCTAGATTTAGATGATCTCACTGCCTCCACCAACAGTATTATGACTCTACTGTCTACTCTATTGGCACGACCTCAAGCAGGGGAGTCAGAGAGGTGAGTAGAGTTGCTCTTTTTCACGTATGTTTTCTTTCTTTGGGACTGCTCATCATAGTAATAATCAATTAGTAATCATTTCTTTTATCAGATTTGAAATTTTGATAAGTCTCTGACAAAGAAAAGTAGACAAATTTGCATATGCCTGACCATAACATAAAAATTGTCTTTTCACCAAAATTTTTTCTTTTTCTTTCCAGCACAAATCTTTCATTGTCTGAACTTGTACCCAGACTCTGGCCTTTCTTAAGGCACAATATTACCTCAGTGAGAAAATGTGTACTTACCACGCTTCATATTTTGCTGACCAGTGAGCGCCAGCCACATGCTACTTGGCTAATCCCCATACTCCAAGATGCACTAAGGCATGTGTATCAAAGAGTGCTACTTGAAGAAAAAGCAGAATTGCTAGATTTGATTCAGCAGGTTAGGATGATTTGTATGTTTTTTTCATAGTTAAAAAGATTTACAAAGGATGGTGATGTTATTTATATTTTTTATTCAAGTTAATATGGTGATAAGTAAACCTATTTTTAAAAAGGTACATAATTTGAATTAAAGTAAAAGAAAAAACACTTCTCTTTGTTTACATATCAGTGTGATAAGTTTGATTTTAGTTTTACAATTTGAAAAAGGAGTTGTTTTATACAAACTACTTCATAGTGTTGTGTATTTTAGGTTTGGTGCTCTGTCTTAGAGAAATCTCCCCTGGACTACTTAATTGCTGCCACCTCTCCTTTCCTGGGGACCTGGCTTTGCATGATGATGCAACCGTCACGCCTTCCTTTTGACCAAAACTTTCTCATCGATGCAAAACATAAGGATAAGGTACAGATCAAGCATATCTCTGTCGAGTGCTTTTAAGATTGTAGTATTTGAGCAAGTATGGTACAAGCTGCCAGTCAGTTAAATTAATTTTTTTTTATGATAGCAAATGAAATGGTTTACCTCAATTCTTTGGCTCTCACAATTAAGCCCACATGTTTTCAGTTTATAGTGGAGTTGCTCTTTACCTACCAGTAGCATTAAATATGACAAGGGCACTAATTGATTTATTTAAAAGATGTGTCATTTTTTACTGCAGAGTCTGACCCCAGGTAAATCCCGCAGTTTTTCTGAGGTTCCGAGCCCCGTGCATGATAAACTGGATAAAGAATATATTGCTGGCACCTTTTCTCTAAGTGATACACAGGCCAATAGGGACGCATGTGTCATGCGGGCCAGAATTACAGCTGGAAGGTATATTTTATAGTATGTAGTTTGTACGTGAAAAGAGAGCAAGTGTTTGAATTTACCTTGCAAATATGTGATATTTAATATCTGTATTATTTCTCTATTTATTTGTTCATTTATTGAGATATTTTTAAAACAGTTATTTAAGAATCAGCAATATGACTTAATTTGTCCCCCAATCATTTCAGCACTGCCATTTTAACAAGATGATAAAATTGGTTCTTTTATTATCAGAATGCTGGGCATTTTGTGCTCCTACCTTACAAAACCTGTACCAAACTATCCCGAGAACATGGAAACACCAAGTGATGCTCTTTTAAAACTGTTGCTATTTCACCTCAATTCCAAGTCTGCCCTGCAGAGGATGGCTATTGGGCAGATAGTCATGGTTTGGGCCAGTCAGGAACAGGTAATTTGAAGTAGTTAGTCATGGTATTGACCAGTCATAAACAGGTTATTTGAAGTAGGTTGTCATGGTATGGACCAGTCATGAACAGGTTATTTGAAGTAGGTTGTCGTGGTATGGACCAGTCATGAACAGGCTATTTGAAGTAGGTTGTCATGGTATAGACCAGTCATTTTGATGCAAGTGGTATGGGTCCATCATCAATGAGAAGTTAAGGTGTTTCTTTGTGTTTTTGTCAGATCTAATTCTATAACTGAGACCACGGTGTATGTATATGCTTTAATAATATATAAAAATAGTTTATATCTCAATTGTTGGTCAAGTATCACAAATTACTAGATTACTAATAGTTTCTTGGAAAAAATTTTCAGCACTTCTGAATTTCTTAACACTATAGTACATTCTTTTGACTAAAGGTTGTGCATGTTAAGTTTGTGAAGTCTTCTTTGGGATATCAGTAGTGTAGAATTTAAATATTGATTATTTACATTTTTATTAAGCAGGAGAACAAGTGCCCAGAAATGGTAAAAGAAAAAATCGTGATGTGTTTGAATGAAGCTGTGTACTTTGATGAGATAGCCATGTTGTTCACAAGAATGCAAACAGAGTGTAGGGATTTTGTTGCAAGTCTCAAGCAGCAAAAAATTAACATGGATTCTTTTATTCAACCCGGGTAAGTGAGTTTTAAAAAATATTTTCACTTACTTTTCAAAAAAAATTTACATAGGTGAAAGTTGAAAGAGAATTAACTCAGTTCTGAGTGTGTTTAAATATAGCCGACATCAGTATAGACAGAGACAGGCCATCCTACAAGTTAGATAGATGGTTTTGGCTCCTTATGTTTGCTCATTTTTCTAGGACAATACTAACAATAGACCAGGCACAAGCTTTGGCAACCACTACCTTTGATGCTGTAAAAGGGAACCTCAAACCCAAGCAACTGCAAGAATTTGAACAGAGAAGAGGTCATTTGTTAACCAGTATTACACAGACCAGTTCAGAGCTTCAGACTTTAACTATCAGGTATAGAGAGAGTTAAATTAAACAACGAATATGGGCTCTCAGCATGTTTTGCTGCATTAGTATGGTCAATAGAAAGCTTTTCCATTAGCAGATGACTATTTTAGTGCTCATACCAGCACTATTGAGTTCTTGCCAACTGCAAAGAGTGATCTTTTTTTTTTCCCTCACTTAGCTTTGATATTGATAAGAATAAGCTTTTAATCTAAAACAAAATTTTGATTGGACACTTTCTATGCTTTTTGTAAACTTAATCCTTTAACTGTGGAAAGTGATTCACATAGTCCATGAACATTACACAGCTGATCTGAATAAATATTCATTTTGAGTCTAGGGTGCAGTCAAGCTTGGCAGGGGCAACTATTCTCTTGCACTATCTACCAGAAAAATTAAATCCTGTGATCCGCCCTCTGATGGATATTATAAAAAAAGAAGACAATCCAGATATTCAGGTAAAGCATATTTTTCCATTCAATAGTTTATTGTTGGTCTTTGGTTTATGTATGATTTAAATGTATTGTAAAAAAGATGAGTACAATGAACTCTATCAAAGTGATAATTTAAAAGCAAAAAAAAAAAAAAATCATTTTTGCCCCGACTATGACTATGACATCATTTCCTCCCAGTTTAAATGACAGGTCACCAGTCCATTGATTTGTTTACACGATTTGTACTTGTTTAGTGGTTTTCTGGTGATTTTTGCTCTCTTTAGTAGAAATCACATATTTAATATGATATTGGCATTCGATAGTTATTTTGTTCTTCATGATGGTTCTATTTCCAGAGGCAAGCAGCTGCCAACTTATCCCAGCTGCTGTCTCAGTGTATCACTCGTAACCCATGTCCAAATGGCAAAGTGGTGAAGAATCTCTGCGTTTGGGTGTGTTCTGATCCCACATTCACTCCTGGCATTAGTCAACCAGTGATGGCAAAATATGTGCCAGGTAAGAAGTCATCAAATTTATTATTTAAGTTTTAGTTTGTAAATCATTTTTCTCTTTTTTTTTTAATATTATTCAATATTTGATAATGAGCCTTTCAAGTTTCCTATTGAGCTTGGTTGTGTATCCACAATTCAGTGAATCATCAGTGAGCCAATGTTAATTGGATATCGGGGCACCATAGACCCGGAGATAAGATCGATCTACTTTAGATCGACCTAACTCCCTGGGGGTTCACGCTAAATAGCTGTCAGCCGGGCGGACACGAAAGTTAATTACCCCCTTACAGCTTGTAGTAGGCGGGACGGACATTTAAGCCGGATTATCTGACAGTAATCTAGTGAGACTCCCCGCGGGGATAGATCAATCTAAAAGCTCTGGGAATACAGCCATAGAAACACCATAGAAACTAGAACAATACCGGTTAAAACTGGTCACCTGATAGCACTCAGTTATTTAGGATTGGTGACCTGCTGTGGATTTTCTTGGGATCTATTGACTTGAAGTAAATTAAAAAAAAAAATGGGGCATATTTCATCTTTGTAATTTAAAGAATCAGTGATTATCTTTATAACTCTACAATTCACACACAAATCTTATTGCGAAAAGTAGTTTTGCTTATTTTTCTTTGTGTGTTATTTTCAGATCCCAATGATAAAACTGTTCCTTGTGATATGTACTCAGGAATCGTTACTCTGACAAAACAACAGAAGGTAGTATTTATAGATTCATTTCCCACAAAATTATAGAAATTATAAAACCAGGTGCACGCCATCTAACTAGAATGAAATGGAGATAATAAGGGAGAATAAAACTGGATTATGGCCCATTGATTAAATTAAATGGTTGAAAAAGGTGATGATATAGCTCAGGGATGAGATTTTTCCAATTGTTGGCAGATTTCCGAGGTGCTTACAACAATAATGCCATTTTACTAACTATTGGGGGAATTGGCGTATTTTGGGAGCCAAAAAGTCTAGTCCCTTTCTGCTTGTCAGGGGTTTTAGATGCCTGTTGTTAAGTTTGTTTCTTAGTGTCTTAGTTAAGTTTGTTTCTTGTATGGTGAATTCTTGATTTTATTGCTACAACTGTGTAAGTTGACTTGTGCTAACACAGGACAGCACTGTTGGTTGCAGGGCATGGAGAAAATTGGAAGAAGACCAGGAAGGAGACCAGCTAATGTACCAGTTGAGATTTCACCAGAAATGGTGGCCGAAATAAATGAGGTGAGTTTTGTTTTATGAACTGACTGAAAGCAGAAAAAATTAATGTTAAAATATTTTATGAAGTCAGCTTTGGTTTTTTAGTGAAGATTTCTGAATTACTGTGTTGTGTTGTAACAGAACAAAAAAGGTAAAAGCAGAATCTGCCTATTTTAATTGATCCCTTTATTACTTTCCCTCAAAGAAATTAGTAATTATCAGACAGAAGTAATATGTTTGAATATATTGTAATACACTAGGCACAACGGCAGCTGTTCATTCAAAGACGTGGTGCCACCTTTGCTATCACTACAATAGCTGAGAATATGGCCAGTGATCTCCCAAATAAAGTGCCAACCCTCTGGGACAATACCATTAAACCTATATCTGTGATAAATGAGTCTGGACTTGGTAAGTGCCGTTCACTAGAAAATCATTGCGCCTGTAAAATAATGGAATAAGGCCAAAATAATACTATGTAAAATTATATTACTTTAAACAGGTTTTTTTATCTCTAAAAGAGGAAGGATGGGCAAACTTACTTTATGTCAAATTTATTTCATCTATCCTAGAGTTAATTTACTTCCCTAGTAGGTATTAGAAATGTTCTTTACTATATACGATTTGAACATTACAGATGCATCCAGTTTGGGGAGTGATGAAAACACAGCTCAAGAGTTACTTCATTCTCTACAAGTCATGGAGATGGTAGGACCGAGCCTTCATAGACAGCTGCAAGCACAGGTACGTGTGCTTTCTGTAAAGATGTAAAGTAATCGATTTCAGTAGAAAATGAAGTTAGATGTGTAACTTATTTATAATAGTGAGGATAAAAACAAGTTTTGATAAATTCACATTGGTATTGAACTGCATCTTCTCAAGTATGTGAAATGGAGAAATAAAACAAGAGTATAATTTATTAATAACATAAGCATTGTTAAAATACAAATCCTATCATACTGTTATGAACTTTGTATATTATCAACCATGGATAATTTCAGATTTTGCAGAAGCTGCCAGCTCTGACAGTATGTCTACAGCACCCTTTCACTGCTTTACGCCACATGGCTGCCAGGTGCTTGGGAATGCTAAGTAAACTAGACACTGTAGAGACCATGAACTATGTGTTGGAACATGTACTACCACTGCTAGGTTCAACAGACAGTGAGGTCTGTCGTGGAGGAGCCATAGAGGCTTTAACTCGTATCCTACATATTGACTATTGTTGTTGTTGTTGTTTTTTTTTTTTTTTTTAACAACTGGATGAAGTTGTTAAGGTGTTTTATAGCAAAAAAAATTTAATCCTGAAAGTTTCAGTATTTTTCTTGTATCACCAAGGTATGTCCCATCCATAACCATTGAAAAAAACAAAGGTCAATGTTTTAACCTTATGGAGATCTGAATTTCTAAATTAATTCTCTTTTGAGAGAAATTCACCAATCTTTACCCTAATTACGAGATTGACTCAAAGACTAAAAACTTAAATTCAAAAATGAATTTGACCTTGATGAATGGGGCAAAAGTGTTAAAATTTTCTCGAAATTAATTTTTTTGACATTAAAAGGACTAATTTACATTGTGGGTCTTAAATTAAAGTTACCAGACAACAATATTAAATAGGGAACCTCTTTGTGTTTTTAATCCCATGTAAGGCAGTTTGGCGGTCAGGTTACAAAAAGTTTACAGGTTGCAGCCAGTATACATTTGAAATTAGTAGATTTATTTTTTATCTGAAATATAACATGAGCAATTATCTTTTTTTTTTTTTCTAGTGTTAGCCTATCAAGTTCATGTCATTCTGTACCACACATTTCTGTAAATGTCCTTAACCCTGTGTGTCCAGATATCATAGACAGTCTGGGTGTAGATATAGTGGCCTACATTGTACTTATGGTGGTTCCCATCCTAGGCTGTATGAGTGATCTCAATGAAGCTGTCAGGCTCATGGCCACTTACTGCTTTGCTACACTCATAAGACTGATGCCTTTGGAGGTAGGGTGTTCAGTTGTGATAGAAGTGTGGCAATTCAAGAATATCATGACATTTGTGTTTAAGTAGGCCTTGATATTCATTAACTTCAAAAGAGCAGTCAGTTTATGTTAATGAATACACGCTTGTTTTGACTTGTGCTCATCTTTGAAGAAAATGAAAATTATGATCTTTTGTATGCTGACAGTAGCTAAGCTAGCTGGTTTCTTGAACATGTGCATTCTTTAATGTTTTCTACTGTAAGATTGTTTTATATAATTATTCTTTTCCATATTAATACAATTGTCATCTTTTAGTCTGGCATACCTGATCCCCCTGAAATGAAGAGCTCTCTTGTCAAACAAAAGGAGAAAGAGAGAAAATTCTTGGAGCAGTTGCTAGACAGCAGCAAAGTAGAAGACTACGTTTGTCCTGTTCCCATCAAAGCTGAACTACGCAAATACCAGCAGGTGAGTTCATAACGTGAAATAGCATAAATATTTTAAGTTGAAGGAACAGCTTTTATGGGGATTTGAGATGGAAGAATCAACTTAAACTTGGGTGGAGAGGGTATTTAGCACCGTTTTTATCACTGAAATCCCATCTTGTATGTTTGATGAACTGTATAAACTTTAGAGTCCACATTTGGATTTTGGTCTTCTTAAATTTTACTGATCGATTCTTGCCCCAACTTGAAGCAACCAATCATGAAGATATGACTCATTTTATAAAAAGGTTGCATGTATATAGACAGATGACAAATTTATACCGTTGACTACATAATTTTATTTAAAATATGTTTTAAAAAATTAAATGATTGCTCTTCAAATGCAGGATGGTATCAACTGGCTAGCCTTCTTGAATACATACAAGCTTCATGGAATACTCTGTGATGACATGGGACTTGGGAAAACCCTGATGTCTATATGTATCCTGGCTGGTGACCACTATGATAGGGAGCAGAGGTACAAGGTATGTTATAACTCAGTATTGCATTTGAGGGGGGGAAAAAAGAAAAATTGAAAATTATCTTTAAAAATGTGTTTTTGCTGGCTTTAGTTAAGTGGTCAGCAACTACACAGAGGTGTTTTCATGCCCTTTTACACATACAGGCACACATCAATATCAGTATTCTTTTACACTCTATTTTTCTTATGCTTGCAAATCTGTATGCAACAGACACCGAGTCTCTACCCAATAAAGTTTTGTCTCCACTCACTTCATATTGTACAGTTTCCTCTACACGTATCTCATTCTAGCAAACCCAGGCTGCAGACAGTGTCCCCATGCCATCTATAGTTGTGTGTCCACCCACCCTGACTGGACACTGGGTCTATGAAGTGGAGAAGTTTGTCAGTAAGGAGTATCTCAATCCTTTGCATTACACAGGTCCCGTCATGGAGAGGGTGAAGTAAGTAGACATTAGACTGCTATCACTTGGTATTGCTGGGGGTGGGTTTTGACTATCTAAAAGTGGGTTTTACCAAAATATGCAGAAATAATGTATGGCAGATATGACTTTAAGCAATATTGGTCTTAGGGACAAACTGTTTATAAAAAAAATTTTTTTTAATATTTTAAAAAAAGAGACCCCATTATAAACCATATATAGAAGATGGGGCGAGTTTTTGTCCCAATCATTTTGTTAATGGAATACAACTCTTAGCACAGAAATGGCAAGAAGTCAAACCAAAGTTTATTTCTTTATTTGAGGATATTTATTTTCTCAGCTTATTGATATAAGATTACTTTTAGTGAAAAATAATTTTTGCTGTATAATCACCTTAATCAATAACACCCGCATTAAGATCTTGAAGGCAAATGGTATTTTATCAAGAAAAATTCATTTTGACAATTAATTTGATGCCTGGATTGACTTTGAAAGTAGTAACATCCGTACTATAGGTAACAAAAGAATTCCATTTTTTTCTATTGTTATGTTACGTCATTTGAACAATGGAAAACCTATAGCGAACAATGGGGGATGTTTACAAAATAAACAAACAATTTTTTAAGTAAACAAACAAGAC